TTGTATACATTTGTTTGAACACTTTCCTTACATAAATTAATGATGCCAAACCTAACTTTTGTTCCTGAGAGTCCCTCTGTAATGTTTGATCCTCGATGAAAACTTAATTTTCATAAAACACTCATGCTTTACACCCGTATTTATAGTAAAATTATTTCACGTTCATAATTCCACCCCATAGCTGGTCGGATGAATAACGACACAATTTTTCTTTAAATTTCAGCCAATTGTTTTTTGCTTTTCGAGAAAAACAACATGTAAATTTGATGAGCCAGCTCATGCTCTAAGAACTGAAGCGAGAAGAAACGTTGACTAATTTATAATATAGATGTCTGGTACCACAGCTCACTGCTCCAAGTGAAGCCTTTTCCCGCCTGACTTTTGAAATGAATAACTACGCTCTAATATTTTCCTCGTTTACATATAATATACCTTAATTTACTTATGCCCCATTCACACTAGTAAAACATGTTCAGTTACGCTAAACCACGTTAAAATGAATAAAAATTAACAACAAAAAACTTAGAATTTTACATAGGGTTTAAGTCATTATTAACTTTAATTTTCATTGTGCTAAATTGGAAGTCAACAATTTTTTTTTCTTTTTTACAGATAAATTCTCTTTAATCTACCGATTTTCAACAAACATCAATTAAAGCAACTTTAACGAAGGAAACAATCTCAAAATGTGTTTGCAAAACAGCTTTAAAACGTAAATGAATAAAGGGGGTAACTTTCTAAAAAACTGTGGTGCTGCGTCGGTGGAAGAGCATGGTGTTTAATACTTTCAACTAATAATAAAAGCTTTGTTTCAAGGGAAAACGTGTTTGCTCCATAAAAATTAAAATACGGAAGTGTCGAAAACAATTTGCTAAGGTATAATTTTCCCAGAATTTCCAGCTTTCCAATTGATTTCCATAAGAAAGTATACTAAGCAGGTCATTTACTCCGTCTCGAGAATCTTGCTCTTTACAAAGATAGCTGTAGCGGAATTTAGTTTTATCAATTGAATTAGCAAAGTTATTTCACGGCCATAATTCCACCCCCTAACTGGTCGGATGAATAACGACACAATTTTTCTTTATGTTTCAGCCAATAGTTTTTGCTTTTCGAGAAAAAAAAGCATTTAAATTTGATGAACCAGCTCATGCTCCAAGAATCGAAGCGAGAAGAAACGTTGACTAATTTATGATATGGATGCCTGGTACCACAGTTCACTGCTCCAAATGAAGCCTTTTCCCGCTTGACTATGTTTTAATCCCTCGGGGGTTTCATATGAACATTTTTTCATAAGCATCTGCTGATGGTACAGTTGGTGGCCGTGCCCCAAGGCGAGACCCGAACACTTTAGCCCGCGAGCAAGCTAAACCCAAACGGCGGTGAGAGGTTTTGAAAAATCCCTGATCCCTTCCTCCACGTACAATTTTCAGCCAATCAGATTCTCCCCTTTTGTTACCGAAGGAATCTATGAACGTTTAATAAGCTCATGTTATAGGAACATCTTTGGGCCCAAGATGTTAGAGTCTACTCTTTATTCACACTTTATAATTATTTCAGGGATATATCGCAGATTCCATCTTTCATAAATCGTACTATGGCCTTTTCTGCACTAAAAAGAGAGCTTTGTCTTGGTTCTGGCTGTCTTTAGCAAGAAAGTAAATGTTTGAAATCTTAGTTGAAAGGAGTGTATTTGGTTTTAACGGCCGGATCATTTAAATTTCATGAGGTCACGCTAAGGATCTGCTCTCAAGCAGGAAGTCGTTAGTAATTTATAACAAAAACGTTTGTGACTCCACGCTTTCGGTAAGCAATTGTTCCAAAACTCTGTTAAGACAGCTAGAATTGACGTGCGTTGATCTAACGTCTACATTCGAAATAAACATCTGCCCTGAAGTAAAAATAACTTTCTTGTAACTTTTGCTAACATCGGAATTCGAACTTTTGTTGCAAACTCAATTCTTAAATTCTATACTTGGAGTGTTTGAAATGAATCACTGGGCCTTACTATTTTCCTTGTTTACTCCGAGCATACCTTAACTTTCTAATGCCCCATTTACACCAGCAAAACATGTTCTCCAAAAAGTGACGCCCACGCCGATATTGCATTACTTTACTTAGGACGATACAGATTTTCGTCCTAGTAAATATTGAAGAAAAAATCGTGGGTTAAATACTAAAAATAGCATGATTTGGTTTGAGGCCGGAATGGACCGAGCCGGCCGCGAAGCTGGTACTTCATGACCTCGGGCCAAGCATTTCCAGTCCAGTTTCTCACTTAGTCAACAAGTACATATTTTTGTTCAGTTCCAAGATAGACACATAGATACGTAGCCTGCACGTGAGAGTTTATTAATGGAAATGAGCGAAAAGCGGGCAATCAAAAAATGGCGGGACTCAGGCAAAGGCAAAATTTAGGGACAAACTCAACCGCTGTTCAGGTAGGACAGGCTCGACAGAAGCCGTCGCAGGATCTGTGTTGTCCTCGTTTATTTCTTTGCATATGAAGCCGAGGAGACTTGGAAATTGAACATCTGTGAGTTTATGAGTACCATTTAAGGAACCATTTTTTGTTTATGTTTCATCGAGGCCAAGAGGAGGAATGAAAAATAAATTTTTTTCCACAATAATTGTAGTAGTCTTGTGAAATAAAAGGACTTTAAAAAGAAGCTGAATCGCGTTTGTCTCAAGTGCAGCTGATTACAGTTGCTAAGGGATTCTGGTAGAGGCAGAGCTCGGCTTTTTTTTGTTGTGAGAATTTGTCACCCAAATGCAGACTCCTATAGATATATGGATCCAGATAAGATACTCAGGCAGCACGAAAAAGTGAAGAAGCGCCAGTGCGCTAACCGAGGGTTAGAAGTAGAGAAAGTATTATTCACGCCGACAGCCGTTTCAGCGTGACGGGCAGTGCTGCGTTGGTGAGGTATAATACAAGATAACTTGGTTTTATCAAATGAGTTGCTAAGGTAAATTGGCCTCCGTAAAGAATTTCTAAGCTGATGTTTAGAAACCCTTTACGGTGGCCAATTTACAACATCAACTCAGTTGATAAATAGAGAATAATACATAGGCGCGCGTGGATATGGAATTTCTCTTCTAGTGTTTAACTCGATAGCTCACGAGTGAGCGCAGCGAACGAATGAGAGGTCGAGTTGAACACGAGAAGAGAAATTTCATATCCACAAGCAACCATGTATTATTTTGTTTATCATATAAACACAATAGCCCTTTACCGACAAGAAAAGTCAACTTTATTAATTAATGAAAGTAAAAGGATCGACAATCCCCGAGTAAAAATCGTAAAGTGCGTCGGCGCTAAGACTCGAGATGAAAAAAGCGTTGAAAGACTACAAAAACAAACGATGGGCGTAATTTTCAATACGCAAAACTCTCAGTTATTGACTTGGTCCTTACCGACAGAAGAAATCTTTTAGGTTCACAGCCAAAATCGGCCTGTGGCAAATCTTCCAGTTGTCGATTTTCGTTCTCAGCCGCGAGAAATGCCATTACCAAAGCCACTGAATACGTAAATTTCGGTTTTTCTTTCCGTATATTAGTTTTCTTCCCATTCTAAGAAAGTTTAAACGTTATTGTCTGTGAATGATACGGATTTGTCAGTGTTTTAGCGGCCATGATCCGAAAAAATTTCGACAAACGACTTCGGATTGAGAATGGTGAGGCCACGAGCATCCTAACATTTTTTAATCAGGATCGCTGACGGAAGTATGAGTACATCTCGCTTCGAGGACAAAGTTGTGCGGATTGCTCGGGGATGCTTGTAGAGCGGGATCGACAACATATGCATACTGACTCGTACTGGAGCGGGACAAACGGGTGTTTTTGGGATCCAAGAAATGGCTCCTTTGTGGGCGAAGATAATTTTAGATTCTATAACACTATCAATACTCGACACAGTTGAGTATTGATTGAAGTTTAGTTTCAGATAAAAATATAGATAGAGCAATTTAATCTCGTAATCATTACCAAGCAAATGTACTTTTTGAAGGCTTCCTGTCAGTCAATGTTAATTTCTAGAATAATCATTATATCTATTAAGTGTTTCTTGGAGAGAAAAGCGAATTCAACTTCTTTAACCCTTTATCTCCCAGATCAAATTTGTAGTTCTCCCTACCTTCAACCATACAATTCGTATAATGTTGGTTCAGAGAATTTAATAGTGGATCAACTAATTATCCTCGAAAGAATATTTTTCTTTATTCTCATCACTTATCTAGTTGATATTGTATTAATATTGCAAGGAAAAATTATGTCTTGGTCACTCATGAGAGTTTAAGGGTGAAAGTCCTTTTAATTCACAACATTACTGCATTTTGGCAGTGGCAAAGAAAAATAACTTAGTAAGATTTTCCCGTCCTAACTTGATATCTGGGTTTCCTTTAATAATATAGTCTACCGCTAAGTCGATATATTCGATGAGGGGAATGTTGATGAAAAGGCCTTCAACATCGAGAGGAAGCCTTCATGGAAGAATGCAGAAATCAGAATTATGAATGTCGATGACCGGACCTCAGTGCTCTGACGAAGGGCTAACGCTCGAGACGTCAGCCTTTAATAACTCTCCACGATGGCTGGTCATATTATCAAATCAGTCATTCGTGATGAAACCAAAATATCTTGTTATTCCTCCCCCCCCCCTCCCCACACCCCTACCCGACACAGCATCATAGTTTCTCTAGAAACTTACTCCCTCTATAAAATTGTCTACTGGACACTGAACTGAGCGATGTGTATCGAGTAGCAAACTTTGTGTTTTGTTTTTTTACCGCAATGCTTGTTTAAATTTTCCCTCGACTGTCTGTTACCATGAAATGGGGGCGGTTTCTTGACGAAGCTGAAATTTTCAGAAACACGAAGTAATTGCGCTACTTTAGAGTAAGTATCTCCTTGAATAAGGACCCCCCCCCCCCTGCCCAACGCACCTGTCGTGTATTAGGGTTCGTTATATACTACTATAGAGTAAAGCGTGCACAGACCAAGTGCTCAATACAACTGCTTTATTAGAATGCCCTGAAGTTAATTACACTCAGTGATATACATGAGCATAGTCACATGACTGCGGTCAAAGGTCTGCTAACCAATAGAATAAAGATTATATAACAGCCAAGGTATTTATCCAAATAGGAACAAACACTACAGCACCCGTGTTTGAATGAAGAGTCAAGCACCCCAGTTTCCAAACAGTCAGTATATTTATGGTGCCGCAAAATGTCAATTATTAACCATGGAAAGGAGCCCATTCCTACCCTGGACCGGAACCAACGCTCAAGTAGTTTTTCGATCGGGTTTAAGTCCGGGGAAAGGCGTAAAAAGCAAGAAAAAAGTATGTTCAGAATTAAGCTGATGGCAAAATGCCCTTCTTTGCCCCCCCCCCCCCCCCCAGTTATTAACCATGCGATAGTGGATAGTGCCATTAAGACTGATTTTGATAAATGGGAAATATGCCATTTTGCTAATACCGTGTGCACAATGGCTGATGGGTTTGACCGAATAGTTTCTAGTCCTTTGTAGGGTGTTTAAACACCAGATGCTAATAAGATTCAATAAGATGACATCTAGAGGAATTCACAGTAAAGAGGAGGTCAGGAAAATAGCGAACACTTGTACTTCAATTTAAAGTAATTTTGAAAGACATGGTTTGATGCTACTCTGGTTTACAGATTTAATGAATGTAACCGACGAAGTTACAATTCAGACTCAACGTTTCGACACTCCTGTCTAGTGCCTTCATCAGGGGTGATCTAAATGCGGCAACAAGAGGTCCTTTTAGACGATCACTAATTAGCTGCCTTTTTTTACTGACGAGTTGTAAATAGGCGTCAGGAAGTAGGCCGCCATCCTCACGATTTAAAAGAGCGTGGGCGGAGTTAATATGCCAAGCTTCCAAACAAAGGCGCTGGTGGTAACGCCGATTAGTGGTGATAATTTTTGGACTTATCCCACCCAATTTTAAGGTTAGTTAGGCAAGTGTGCTCCGATAAAGCTGAATTTTCCTTTTTGCAAAAGGAAACAACTTTTTGATGCTCTTTCAAACGTGTATCAAACACATTTGGTCTGTCCGATGTATTCATCGTCACAGTCGTTGCAAGGAATAGAATAAATGGCGTCGGTTCGTTGTTCTTGACAGGATCCTTAGGTTTGGCAAAAATATAGCCCAAAGTCTGAAAAAGTTTTTCAGCAACTTTAAAGTTGTGGCTATTCAAAATTCTCTTGATGGGTTCCGTAACACCCCGAATGTAAGGAATAACAGCAAAACCAGTCGCTGGTTCCCTTTTATCAGGACTGTTACTAGTTGTAACTGGGTTTGGCAGTTTCGGAGAAAGTCTTTATATAGCCAGTCACCTTAAAGACATTAGAAACATTTCCTCTCCTCAGCCTTCGAATCGAGTGAAGATTTTTGGTTTCCATTCTACTATTCAGCTTTACATTTATGTGACAAGCACTCTACAACTCTTTAGCAAATTTAACTTCGCTCGGCATCGTTTTATTCATTCAAAGAGTTTTATTATCAGTCCAGAGGAAGAAAAATGTATATGCCGTCAAGGCAACTATCGAGTAAGTTTGACTTCTTTAGTGAACCCTTTGGACAGCTGCTTAAACACGATGGCACGCCCTGTAGTTGCGCCGCTTGATTTTGGTATCACCATCACGTGGTTTGTTTTATCGGTGTCTGGGACAACCTCTCCGTTTACTCTCACATCTCCAGTTGCTACATTCACCAAACTGCTGACTCCCACCTGAGATAAATTATTCATATTGGAGGTTAAAATCTAGAGCCGTTCGTTTGGAGAGCTTTTCCAATGAGTGTTGTCGAACCAAAACCAAAGCAATTACAACGGACAATCGAAAGAAAGAAAAATATCCAGGAGTGCCAATCAGAACTCAAAGAAAAAAAAGAAGCAAACCGCTAAAGGGGCGGGAACACGCGGCGACCGAATCGTTTTGCATCCAATTGGTTAAGAGAGTGGTGCGAATTTTCTGGACCAATCACAAATCAAAGAAAAGCAAGCCCAACTCAATTCCGGGTTACTTTCAACACTCAACTGAAAATTGCTCTGAGATGAGTGTAATTATGAATTTCATTGCTACTATTTTATTGTTTTGTGAAGGTCCCGAAAACTCACTCCTCCTTCTAAATCACTCAGATCAAAAGGAAAATCAATCACAACTTGGTCGCACTTAGGTTCGTTTGTTTCAGTTTCTTTTATCTTTTCACAGGTTTCGAGTGACAAGCACATTCTTTCTAATCGATCGTTATAATTACCTTAATGATGTTTTTAGGGAAATAAACTGAAAAACGCTTTCTTCATAGAAATCAAGATTACCTTATTCGTTTAAATGCATAAATTCTTAATTTTTTCGGCGTAAAATGTTGGGTTAAGATATTCATTACGCTATTCATAAGATACATGAAAAAATTACTCAGTTCTGATTGGTTAAGATAGATGCAGTTTTTAGGTAATTCAATGCAGAAGAGGGGTAATTCAGTGCAAAGACGTAACAAACCAGACTGAACAACTCCTTGAACTGTTTAGCCGGGCTTTGAACTTTTTACGTCTTAAAGATGTGAAAATATCATTGTATATTATTTTTTTTGATCGTCTGCAGTTGTTTTGACCGAACGCACAATGTCACTTGCTGGGTTTGAATAAAATATTTTTGCACTTGATGCGTGCGCTTTGCTTCTCCATTATGATGATAAGCTATCTCGTATTTTTTCATCTCTATTATTATTACGTAATCACATGATTTTTCTCGAGCAACTTGGAAAAAAAAAGCACTTATAATTTTTTCAAAGACCACTAATTACACGAGCCCGTAGGGCTCGTGCTATTTTGTTAGTCTTTGAAAAAAATTTACTCGTCCCTATTTAGTCCAAATTGCACTCGAAATCATGTGATTACCTACACAAATCATTTAACAGTTCGGTTCAATGTTCTTTATAGTGAAAAAGCTTCATCCGAAAAATATCAGTCTATAATTAAATAGTTTCATATATTATCTCACATTTTCAAAAATTAAAAAAAATAAATAGATAAATAATCCTCTTCAATCAAACTTCATAATAACTTATTTATCCTTATCATGCATCATAAACTATCACATGAACCGCTTTATATCCCGACCATAATTCTAGTGTTTTTGTGTATAGTTTACGGAATGCTGCCTTTTGCGTGCAGTTGGTTGACATTAAGGATGAAAGTCAGTGCCAGACAAAGTTCTACATTTCCATTTGATTAACTCTGTTTTGTTATCTCACAATTTGATTGCCCTAATATTGGATCTTGTTCAGTACCAATAATTTATTTATCCACAGGACGTTTAAAAAAAGCAAAGAATCGGCGATAAAATTATAAAATTCGCAAAAAAAGGCTTTTTTCATCTTTAATTTTCTCTGAAATGATCGTTGTTTAAAAAAAAAGTCTTGAAGTTAATTTAACTTTTTTGATTTTGATTTCCATCCCCACTAGCGGTGAAAAAGGTACAATCTTGTGCAAAAAAATTGTGTCTTTGTAAATAATCAAACTACTGACAGCCAATAAGACTGCAAGGACCAACAGTATTCTCAAAAAAGAAGTAAAAAAGAAGGAATATCAGTTTTCAGATTACCTTTATGTCAACTGGCGTGCTGACAGAATAAAACCTTTCTTGCCCATTGATGTCATTGCTATGATTCAGAGTCCTGGAGATGTTGAAATTTAGATTTGGATAAGAGACTGCGATGTACAAATTTTGGGTATCCACTTCTTCCACCATCACAATGCAAGGATCCTGTGCGATAAAATATCAGAAGAACCTCAGATCAAGCGATATATATTTATACAAAAACCAACTCACGTCCAGAAATGATAAAAAAGAAATTCCTTTACATTAACTTAAAACAAATATATTTAACAACTATGTACCAAAATGGAGGTGGCTAGTGGTGGATAATTACAGAAGAGCGAAGCGGCGAGGTAAATATCTACTGCTAACCACCGAGACTGAAGCAAAATCGCACAAAAATATGATTTAACTAATTTACTCCAAAAACGATTATAATGTTTTCTGCCGCAAATCTGGTGCGAGTTCCTCGGGGGTGAATAGCAAAGGGTATTTCGACGACCTTAAGTAGCCAATCAGAGTGCGCCTTCAATGCCATCCACTGTTTTAGTGTACATCAAATATATATAACTCAAGTTTCACTAACGTTGCAATGTGTATGAAATAAATCTACCTTTTCTTTTTTTCATCAAAAAGGTTATGAGCGATGCATATATATTTTACATCAAAGGAACCAAGAAACAAAGCCTTTGGAAATTTCGACAGCGGTTCTTAGGCTTTCTGTCCCTATCTAATTCAATTTTCTTCCTTATTTTGTGACGGTGAATTATACGGGAAGGGTGAAACAGGGTTGAAACCGAACATTATGCGCCTTTTGCTCAAAAAAATGCTTCTAGACATAATTTTTTCCACGCCATAAAGCTTCAAAAGGGATTTGGAAATCCTATAGTAAAAGAACCTTAATGAACAGCCGGAAATAAATGATAAATAATAATAACAATAATAACTAATAAATAAAAATGATTAAAAAACAGATAAAAGTAATAAATAAGTAATACAAAGAATGATAAATAATACTTCTATAAAAATTTTCAACTGCGACTTACAATGCCTTGGAAAATTTAAATTCAAAACTTCATGCATAATTTTTTCAAAGGTCTATAGCTTCAACAGGGATTTGAAAATCCTATAGTAAAAATACCTTACTGAACAGCAGGAAACAAATAAATAATAATAATATTAATAATAATATGAATCAATAAAAAAAATTACATAAAAAATAATATTAAGAAATAAGTCATAAATAATGAAATTAATAGTTCTAGAATAATCAACTGCGACTTGCAATGCCTTTGAAAATTCAAAACTTGTAAAACAGTTAGACAATGCATAACAATTAATGCATATTAAAATTTAAAATCAGGACTAACTAACAAGCTTTACGAAAAAAACACTAATGAAATGATTTCTGAAGAGGAACGTTTTCAGTCTTTCTTTTCTTTTAGCAAAAGGAGACGCTCAATATATTCGCGAATTTCGTCCTCTCTGTTAGTCTCGTTAAACCAACTCCGTTTTTACTCCTATCTAAGCTAGACCACACCATGACAAGTTTTACCTTTTCGACGCTCCTTACTGGACCCAAGGTACGGACAGATTTGTCAAAAAAAACGTATCCATACTGAGTCTCACCCTGCCTCGGGCTATTATTGATCTTTACCACGTGAGCCTTATTATCTTTCTGAAGTACTTCATACAAGTAGCTGCCATTCGCTTGATTATCAGCCAAAGTCTTTCAAATTATGAATAGCAAAATGTTAGTGCGAGATCAAAAAGAAGAAAACTTGTAATATTGCCGAAGGCTACATGAGCTCTATTAAAATAAAAAGGCTAGGAATGTGACTTTCCATGCGAGACTGAATCATTTGGTACAAAAAAAATTGTACATAAGAATGCTTAACGTGTCTGCTTATCTATCCCACAATTTCCTATTCCGACAGATTTTCGGTAAAAATCCGTTGGCTTAGAAGCGAAGAAGGAATGCTGCTTGAAAAGCGACCACTGAGATACAATTGTTTCGTTCCAAGTTCACTTGTCAACAAATACTTGCTGACAAAAGCAACCTAACTTCCAAGATCCTGTACGATGTATAGCTGATGACCTTGTGTATACTTATCACCTGTTTGCGCAATATCTATTGAAGTTACGCACGCAACACTTCTGAGAGCTAATTGTTTAAATGCCCATGCCTGAAGGAATTGTTAAATGAACTCTAAAATTTCCTACCCGGATTTCTCCTGAGGGTCTGTTAACAAATATGGTGTATTCATAACCCTTGTCCATTGGGTTCACTCCATGGTCGAGCCATGCGGTCGCGTACCGAGCCGTTGTACGCCTTGAACCTCTTCGGTTTCTGGACTTTTGCCGGCCAATCTTCACATTAAGTCCCTGGTTATGCGCTTCGGGAATGTAGTAAGTGTTTCCTTAAATTTTTAAAAATGAGGGAATAATGAAACTTGTATTATTTTTAGTTAAATAATAGTGTCATAAACGTAGGCATAATAAGCAAAAGGAGAGGTCACGTTAGACCTCACAGCAAGATTTATATATATAATACCAATCCTAATTTCATATTCATTACAGAAAAGCAAAATAACAGTTATGACGTCACCGTCACTGACAGTAGACACTGAATGATCACAACCCAAAAGAGCTACTTGAGTTTTGCAGCCAATAGTATCACAGCAAAACTGACCAATCATTGGTCTAGAAGACTCGTACCACGCTTCCCACCAATCAGATGCAAAACTGAACAATCGTAGCTAGTTCGCTCGTGTTTCCCCGCGCTTTGTATGTTTTGTTTTTTTTCTCTAAGTTCTGATTGGCTCTTAGTGATTTTTTTCCATTTTTTATTAGTGGTTGTTGTGGTAACTTTGGCTTGGTATTAAGATACACAATCAAAACGCAGTCTGTTGAACAAGCCTGTTGGATTAGAGATGACCAACGTTAGCCTTGTTAATTTTTTTTCCGGCTTCTACATGGACCACACCTGAATGTCTCAGGTCATGAAAACGAAAAAAAGAAGTCGGCCAGAATCGGGTCACTGTGTAATCTTGCCTAATAAAATTTTTTATGTATTTAGTAAACGTTTGAGGTTGTCCTTCAGTAGCATGTTGATTAAATGGACGATTCGATTGAGGCATTCAGAGCGTTTTATATCGGAAAGTGTAAGCCCAAACTAAATTCCCAGGAAGAATGTAGTGAACTCAGAGACCTTTTATCTGTAACTAGGCCGCTTACGTCTTTCGTTCTTCTGCTCATCAGCGATTTTCGATGGAACTGTTTGTTACCATCAACACATTTGAACAACTCATTTTACCTACTACATATTCTAATTATTCGTTCACTTACATCGTTTTAATATCATTCATAGTGGAATATTTTCCTTACGTTCCCCGACGATGCCGTAGATCGGGGAAAGTTTAGAAAAGATGAAGAAATAAAGTAGCTCAATGCCTAATCGAATCGTGCATATTATGTATTTACCATTGACATCCATAAGTGTAGCTGCATGGTTTCCTCTGCCAAAGAAGGACGGCGCCTTTTTCAAGTTGGTGTTGAGTGAGTGACTTGTTTCGTTTATCAGAATTGACGATGGATTGTTTGCGTTGAGAAGCTTCGTCTGGAACAACGTGGTCTGCAACCAATTTCAAACGTACATTTCTCAGTTTTCTCATCAGAAAGATTGAGAAAATATTATCGCGTAAAGAAAGGATATAGCATGATTGATGCGACTGAAAGGTTCACCATTTCAAAACACAGACCCAATTTTCTACCTATCCTGGGTCCGTTTCTCGAAGGTCCCGGTAACTGAACACGCCCAAAGCCATATTTTAATATCAAAATTTAAAGAATACAGAAGCAGGTTCCGACATCCTAACGAGTCTATTTTGTTCCTTTATCTGATAGTTTTATTGTATAATTTTCAAAAGTTTTGAAACCCCCATCTTGAATGACAACAGAACAGCTTTAAGGGCCCGTTAGGTAACTGGGACCTTCGAGAAACAGGCCTCTAGTTTCTGAGGCATGAAGTGGCTAGTAGTTTTGGCATCCAGTCCACCAGAAATAGCTGTTTACAGGGCCGTGCACTAACTAGTAAAGGCGATTTAACGAAATCAAGGAAAGACAGTGTAATTTAAGAGGCCACAGTATACTTACGTTACCAAAGGTTAATGGCACAAAACATGGTTTAAATTGCGGCTAAGAAATGGAACTCGCCTCCGGATAACATACAGTAACCAGCAACTTCTTAAGCATATAAAAACGAGAAGTATTCAGTTTTCTATATATACACATGTATATTTTTCTTTTCAAAAAAAGTATTTTCAGTTGAAAATACCACATTACCTTGTTACACTCTCCCACCGACGCAGCACCACAGTTTCTTTGGAAACTTAACTCCTTCATTCACTTTAAATAAAGTTGTCTATCTATCTATCTATCTATCCATCCATCCATCCATCCATCCATCCATCTATCTATCTATCTATCTATCTATCTATCTATCTATCTATCTATCTATCTATCTATCTATCTATCTATCTACCTACCTACCTACCTATCTCTCTATCTATCTATTCCAGTGCATTTTAGGTAATCCCTAAAATCCATTAACAGTTTAGAGGTACGCATTTATACCCTTGTGTAAAGAGAGGCAATAACAAATTTAAGTATCTGGCCAAAAGACTCAACAAAATGACCTTCCCAGGACTCAAACCCAGACCTCTTGAACAGAGGTCCACCGCGCAAACCCTTTGGTCACCATTTCCTCCACGTTGATAGCATTAGATAAATTGCAAGTTACCACAACTAATATTTCTCACTATATCTGTCCCCGTCTTTCAATGATATTAAGTTTTTGGTTACAGAAATAATTCTAACAAATTTTATGGAGAGCGGCCTCTAACAGGCTTGATTGACTTAATACGTCATAAACTTGATGAAAACATTTTGAGAAATAACTGGATTGTTTTGAAACTATTGCCAAGGGAACCAAAAAAGGCTGTTAAAATCAATAAATCAAAACTGACTTGGTATAAAAAGGACGACACCATTTGCAGCCACGTTTACACGAAAACAAATCTTACAATCAACTTGTTTCAATTGAAAGGGAAACAATTAAATGTACCTGAGTTATACTGGGCGAGCTCATGGTTGTTGTGATTCCAGATCCAAGACAAATCACGGCAAAATCTGTGAAAAACACGCTCTTCTTAAATTCAAAGGTGATGTCAAGTTGAAAGGAACCAGCTGGAAAATGATAACTGGGCTGTGAGAAATCCATTCCAAAGACCCCCGTAGCATAATCACCGCCACCAATCAAAGTCAATCCTCCCGCAAGTTCCCTGGGTTGAAAATATCTGTGGAGCCACTTCAAATGTCAGATGATATAATTGGTTCATTTGTGCTACGTGGTACAAAATGTTCTTCTTTGTTTGTTTATGTACCATATGCGCCCACAATACTACTATAATGATAAAAATACATGTATTTTTCGGGGGAAGTCGGAATTTAAAACTGAAGCAAAAACACTTAACATGTTTCCTGTCCGGCCCACTGGATACTTTGAGAGGGTGGGGGTGCATTTCCATTGGACAGAAAAAAGCACACACAGTTTTATATCGACCTAAGCCTTATGATAATATTAAAGAATTGGTTCACGCTTTAACTATGCGTATATCGAGTTACGGATGCACTTGGGAAGTTTGGAGAGGACTCAAGAAGCAAGAAACTTCTATAATTCGAAACACGCACTCTAAGTATGGACCAGTTTTTGATATTAAGCATAAGGTTTCTGGAAACCTAAGTTCGGTGAGTGAGGACCTTGCTATTTGACACTCGGGACATGTTTGTATCTTTTTCTATTAAAACGCACTTCTTTCCTTTTGGCAAGGTGGGGGCGGGGGGGGGGGGGGGGGGGATGAATCTACAACTCCGTGTCATTTTTAGCTCCTTAGTTATTCCAGGGTGCTGTTACCCTCTTAAAATCATACCAATAATTAATTATTATTTTCTATTCAATACATTGTTAAAACTTGATACAGAGTACATGACATTTATTGTTGTTGTTGTTATTGCTGTTGTTGTTGCTGTTAAAAAGAGCCTTAAACGAAACTTCTTCTCATCGAATAATTTCCAAAGAGTTACGAATTTGGAAAAGCGGTAACAGGGAGATTTTTCAGTTCACGTGATCGAAGAGGGCAATCCCCAACAGGGAATACGAGCCTATCTTGCCCGCTAGGGTAACCAATCAGAACACGCGATTCCATTTGATCTGCCCGCTCGAGAAGCCAGCCGAACGATAAAAACTGATTTGAGCGAACGGAATATCATTACTTACCTACGATCCAGGCTAACCAACTGTTCAAGATCCATTTTTATTGTTGTAGTGCCCGGATGTCGTGTCCAGTCCCAACCATTATCGATATCCAGAGTTTTAAGTGACGCCTCGCTGTTTGCAACGAGAAGTGCTCCATGACTCTGATAAAGACCATAAACATTTTGATTGCTCGAAGCCTCGTAGTCCCAGACATACTTGTTGAAGCCTTTCATTGTTACCGCCCAATTTTCTCTTCGTGCAATCACTAGTGAAGCATAATTTTTCGTCCAGAATCCCTGGGGCGAACTTTCGGCCGTTATACTCATCGAGGCAGCTTTAGAGCTTATTTCCTCCATGATGTTGATCGAACCAATAGAGTTTAGGTAATAGATACTTTTGGATATCGTACCATCTTCCAAGTAATTGCTAACATCCTTATTGCCTGCATCATTAAGTCGTAAAAACATTTTGATCTTATCACTGTCGAGAGCAGCAATTTCACCCAGACTTCCATCATCGTTTAAACTGGGAGCAGTTGCACCGGCGTAAGCATAGGCAGGAAAACTCTCGGCCAAAATTGCACGGTAAAATCCTGGAAATCGACCCGCTACACTGTTCGGAGTTGAGTATTTAACAGCAACAATCCTCATTGTCTCTAGACCTTTCTTAATATGCTTGCTTGTGTCCTCACCTTTGAACCAAAACCACGAAAACACAACTCAAACTCTAATTGCAAAATACAGTTACTCCCTTTCTAAAATCAACGTATACCCCAAATATTAAGTATACAACAGAGCTAGTTTATGAATGCGTCAGACAATTTTTACACAGCCGAAAGATCAGAGTGCTCAGGAATCTTACGAGAACATCCCTGTTGCCTCACATTTCCCTTGCGAAACAAAATGGTCACAGAGGCGTCTCCTCTTGCAGGCTAGAACATAAGACAAAAGGAGCCTCTAAAAAGAATCATTGATTTAATGGACAAAGAGAAACCGAGACAAAAGAAAGCTTTATAGTAGTTTAAACCATGATCTTTGTGTAGTCTTTTGCTACCTTGGAAACCACACTTCAGAGAAGTCATCCGCTGGCACACTTCCTTCCTAGCCTTTTCCCCTCTATAATGTTGTTCAAAGCCATAGCGCTAAGTATCTGGCTAACATATAAACGACAATGCTACTGACAGGAGTCCTTTTCAGGACTATCCACAACCGGACAATCAGACTTCTCGAGCATATCTCAAACCAACGGTTTCTTAATCCATTTGGATCAATGTTAGTATCAGAGAAACTGCACACCAACTCCTCCCCTAACCCAATAACGGTCAACTAATAACAAATTAGGGGTAATGTTGGGTTTGCAGAGGGGTTGGTACGCAGTGGCTCCTTTTTTTGTCCCCACTTTACTTTCCCTTGTAACTAGCTCATTCTTACTCAATTTAAATGGTGTTCCACTGAGTAGAAACTCGATTAATGCACCACAATGGATAGCATGCGGAGTGTAAGCAGAGGCATAATAGCTGTTGTGATGGAATCCAAGGTAATCAGGCTTTAAAACTCCTGCGAAACCTTCATTAGGGGACAGTGCGTTGGCGTACCATGAGACAAGTTCTTCCATGTCACGAATTTTATCAAGCTTTTTAGCATCTGTTGAAGTTGGCATCATTAGGACAGTAAACAACCTGCAAAAGAAAGAGCCAGCGCACATAAGGCTGAGGATTGAACGTCTTTATTTTTGTTACAGTTGACTTCATGATAAATGAGTTTGCTCATGCAAGGTATTTCATAAATTTCTACACGCATATCGAGTGGCAGAGCAATGGCCTAAAGGGAAATGATTTGACAATAATAGTAAAAACAATAAACATAAGAAGGGAAAAAGAAGGCAAAAAAAAAAAGGGAATAGTTGAGGATGGAGAGATTAAAACGGATTGTTTAAATACAAGTTTCGTAACAGTAGAAGATGGAAGAATGTCTCAGGATGAAGTTAATTCAAAATAATTGCAGATTACGAACTTAAAAAACGTAGACTGAATATTTTATGACGTTGAGGCGTAGCCCCCGAGAAACATAGCTTTAAGTATCTCTATCGATCTAATTCGTTTTCTGAAACGTGATGCTGACTGGATATCATAAAACCGACACCAAAGTCATCACAATGGCCAATCAGGACACAAGGGGCAGCAAGGACTCGAACTAAAATCGAAGCTAGCTTCTTGAAGCGCGGAAAGGCGCAATTGACCAGCTCCCTATTGGCCCTAGCGTTCGTCTTGTATCTGTTTGGTTGAGTGGTAGCACGAATTTTCTCGACCAATCACAGAGTATCGTGAAGCAGAAAAAAAAGAAAGATATCCTGGATTACCTTCGACGATGAACTAAGACACAACACAATGACCCCGTCAGAATTCAAATTAGAAAGGGCCTCACTATTTGAAACTACTAGGCCACTGTTGGCTCTGACGAAGGGCTAACGCTCGAAACGTCAGCTCTTAGAAACTCTTTACGGTGGTCTATTTACGTTGCCAACTCAGTTGATGAAACCAAATTATCTTGAAATACCCCATCGACGCAGCACCACAGTTTTCTTTGGAAACTTACCCAAGTTTCACACAGCTATGTTTTAGTAAACAAAAGTAACGCATATCTAGAAAAAACATATGTCATATAAGGAACTGACATGAAAAACATCTTGCCTGAATAATGAAATGGTTCTCATACGATCAGCAGTTGTACCAGCATATTCAAACGGGTCTTGATAAACTTCTCCAAACTCGTTGTACCACTTCATTGTAGCCACATAATCATCGATTTTACCAGCGGCGGTGATTTCCTTTCTCAGGAGGAAGACTGCATTCATAAAACCTGCACCGACATTGTTCATCTCATGATCCAAAGAACCAATACCACTACCATCGCTCCAACCTGACAAATGCAAGAGCTGAGTTATATCCCATTCTCACCAAAGCTTAACTTAAACAAAATACTGAGCCACAGAGACTCCATGGTGAGCGAGCTCTATTACGAAGTTCATGTGACACGCGTCGGAGCACGGAATTTGAAGGTCTGAGGTTCGATTCCTCATGGGGACTCAGAGTTCTTTCTTTGTCCCACGCTCGTGACAAGACGAAAAACGTCTTTCTTTATTCCTTTAACGAGCTCAAAACTTACCAGTTCTTAATTTCATGAGAAATTTCAATCGCTCTGACGAAGGGCTAACGCTCGAAACGTCAGCTTTTTTACCCTTTACGGTGGCTAATTTACGTTTTCAACCCAGTTGTTAACACTAAATTACATGACGCAGCACCACAGTTTCTTTAGAAACTTACCCCTTAATTTCATGAGCTCCAGGAATGAAATTGTATGAATTATCGCATCAATGTCAGTATCTGAGCAACTGGTCACCCACCCCTCCCCTGGCCTACATTTACCCTAATTTACTATGAGTTAATTTGAATGAAAGTGATCCTCGCAGTAATGTGCACTACTTGAGCAGTAGTGAAAATAAGGCCTGAAAAAAAAAATTCAGGCCTGTACGGGATTTGAACCCATGACCTCTGCGATACCGGTGCAACGCTCTACCAACTCAGCTAACAAGCCAACTGGTAGCTAGTCATTATGTTGGTTCCAAATAAACCCGTGAAGTGATGAGGAAACGGCTAAGAATATATGCAAGTCATATATTTGAACTGCGGATAAAGACATGAAAGAAAGTGATCCTCAGGCCTTATTTTCACCACTGCTCAAGTAGTGCACATTTCTGCGAGGATCACTTTCATCCACGTTTTTATCCGCAGTTCAAATATATGACTTTCATATAATCTTAGCCGTTTATGAGTTAATTGTTGTGTTGGGGGGGGGGGGGGGGGGGGTTTGGTATGCAGTTGCTCAGATTACTGGCTTTGATCCCAATAGTCTTTTGTACTAAGGGGGGTAAGCTCTGGCACCTTGTGAGCCCCAATGACTCGAGTTCCATACTTTACCCTATTGTTCATAGGCTCACCTTGATCTTCAATATATTCCAAAAGGAGAAGTAATCGTTCCTTTCGCTTCGTATTTAGAGTGCCTATAGCCACCTTCACTTCCTCCAACGTGTAAGATGTTGGATTGGTACCCAAGGCGGTGGTGAATATGTCTTGAATGTTCTGATTACCTCCTGCTATTTTCTATGGTTGAAAAAAAAAATCAGTAAAACCATCCTGCATTCTCTGAAAAGTAGTTAAATATTCCCTCCGTAATCTTGGCAGCAGGTAAAATTCAGGAAAAAGCATGGGGCCTATTTTGCATAAAGTTTACTAAAGGCAACTTCACATTTTTAGAACGAAGTTAAACAGGAAAAAAGAAAATTTTACAACTTAATATGGAGGTGTTTAAAAGTAGAAAGTTCACTTTCGCGAGCAGATGACTCAGAAGAAAAGGTCTACAAGAACGTCACGGTCGCTGATCTTGCCTTTCACAGAACAATTTTGGCCACGGGGAGTAGGGGAGGGGGTAATTCGAACAAACCATTCTTCAAAAGTTCAAATGCCAGGGGGGTTGCCTAGGGGGGCTTGTTGAAGCCTCAAATTGATCGACGCACGCAAAACCAATTTTCAGTTGAAATTTTTCCTAGCATTGAAAAATTCTTCCAACTTCTCATGGGTTTGGACAAGGATGGGAGAACACAGAGAAAGAACTCTACTTTGCTTTTTTAACTTGTATCTAGAGAAAGTGTGAATCTTAAACTCTGACAACCATGTTTACAAACCCTCATCTGAACACACCTATCAAGGTTAAGGGTGAACCTTAACCCATTTTACCCCCAAGAGCAACTAACATCGAACTTCTCCTCAAAGTATCTCTAAGGAATAAAATATCAAAACCACGAGAGTAGAGAAAATGATCAGCAACTAAAATAAGCTCTTGATTAATGTATTGTCAGTACCATGGAAAATGGACAGAGAACATTATAGAGAATATGCATACTGATACTGGACTATAAAGGGTTCAAGAGCCAATCAACCATACCTTTATGGCATCATTTTTCTGGTCCACGGCTCCATTCAAGTTGGACAGTTGATCGGCCGCCAATGCATTGACATCAACATCACGTGATCTCACATGATAATCCAGTGCCAATGGAAGAAGCACTTTCTCCACCACCTCCCCAAATTTTTTACCACCAGTAACTTTAGACTTGTCAGCATAAAGAGGCATTCCTGGAGAGTAACAATGCAAATACAATTTTGGAGGTTTTATTTTTGGAAAGAGCAACCAAAAACATACAAGCTGTTCTCAATCATTTTGCTAACACGTCAAATTATCAACAACTAACTCACTGACACCATTAGGCAACTCACCAACACCATTAGGCAACTCGTCGTTGTCATTATCAAGCTTGCTAACACCTCTAGTCAACTCCCCAACCCGGCCCAAGTTCGCGCCCTGGCGAACTCACCAACAACTAAGTTGACCAAAGATGACCCTCAACAAGTTGACCAAAGGTGTAGTACAAGTTGACTACTGGTTCGGTAAATTGGTTGTCCACAATTTGACATTTCCGCAAAGTGATTGGTTTGAAGACCATATTGATCTAATCCAGGCGGTGTGCGCACTCTGCTTGCGTTGCATCATGGTCGTAAAATGAAAAGCGAGTCCTTGGCACCCTGTCGCGGTCGAGTGAACATCTCTGGTGGCAGCAAGATAGCGTGAATAAACGTGTAATGTAATGGGGATTCACTGTCTGTTGCCGTTCCTTCGAAAGTGTTTGCCGTCCTGCGCGACTCCTGTTATTCGTCCGTGACAAATTTGTTGTTAGGTGGCAATTGAAGAGATTCAGAAAGAATAGAAACTGCAGCCTTGCCCAAGAATCTATTCATTTGGGAGTAGTTACACTCACAGCTGATGGCCGTGTGAATAATATTAAATTCGCGGGTTATTTAACGGGGAATCGACCCTTGACATGCAAACGCATGTTAAGGGTCGATTACCATCTGATACACGAACTATTTTTCATGTCATATACTAAAGGCGTAAATGCGGGATTCGCGAAAGGAGAAGCCTTACGCCTCCCAAGACCAATTCGTCATGCTCAACGTTTAATAAAAAACTTACAGAGTTTCAAATATGCTTAAAGAGAATACCTAGAATTAGGCTTTCAGAAACATATCTATGGAGTTATTTTTTGCAGAGAGACAGTCTACTTGAAAACAATAAAAACAGCGCGTGCATATTAAAGTATTACTTTTTGTAACAATCTCAGAATCAGAATCGGTCTCAAACACTGAACTTAAAATGCGAGAAACACATGTATCGTTGGAGAGCGTTTGGTCAGAGCTGTAGAAGAAGGATCAAAGCGGCCATCCAAATCTTTGAAAGGCTCCAAACTAAGACGTAAATTAAATATGACCTTCTCGAAAACCGGTCTCAAATTACATACTAAAAAACAGTGCGTTTGTCCTTGAGAACCATAGAATGCACGACAAAAAATACTTCTACACATTCAGAATAAATCAAAGTACATTTATCTATAGTGAAAGGAAAAAGGAACGGCCTAACTTCTATGGAATGTTCAGTCAAAGTTTGCCGATTTCTGCTGCTTTCACCGCCATATTGAAAATGAAGCTACCACATATGCAACGCAATAGGAGTGCGCACACCGCCTGGATCTAATCCGTGAGTAACTTGCTTTGTCTCATACATTCTTGTAGCAAAGCATTGGTGCATGGTTAGCAATATCTCCTTCGTAAAGAAAGAAGAGTCACTTGGTGACAGAATTTTCTTGATGATACTAAAATGCTATGCAAAGATATAAGTGCAACTGTTAAGTTGAAAAGGAAATCATGGCCATAGAGCACCATTTCCATCAGTTAAATATTATAGTAAGTAAAGGGGATATAAGGAGAACACCTGGGTGTTCAAACAGTGGATAACATTATCCAACAAATAAATCGCTATCCTAGGGATATGCATTTACAAACTATATTGCATTATCCACAGGATAGAGATTTATCCAGTGGATACCATTATCCACGTCAAACGACTGGGACCCAAAAGCTTTAAAAATTATGACTGAAGGTGCATCGACTAAGGCTTGAAAATTTTAAAAAATCATGACTGAAGGGATGTCATTTCCAATTTTTTAAACAGTTAGTTAGCTTTTAACCCCTTAACTCCCAACATCTCACAAATTATTCTCATTAGTGAGTACTCTACAGTTCTTAGGATGTGAATTAAGAGAATTTGGTGTTGGATCAGGTAATAATCCCTCTAAACGATATTTGTCCTTAGTCTCATCACTTTACTGCTTGATATTGAATTAAAATTATGAGAAGAAATTCTGCATTGGTCACTCATGAGAGTTAAAGGGTTAAAACTTCACTTAAGTGGTTAAATTATTCTTTCCATCCTAACCTGCCACCAGACAAAAATTCATAATTTTCAGAATTTGGCTAAAAAAAGTCATAGGTTAGTTATTACCATGGTGTTTACCTGTAATAACACCCTCTAAGTTCTTCACAATATTTAGTTGTCCATACTGAGTATGAGCACTATCCACTTGCATCTGTAAAGACATCCATCTCTTCTGAGCATTGGTTGGAAACTGGACTGAGCTCTGAGCCTGATTAACAAACCAATTCTCTAGTCGCTTTTCAATCAGGGTCAAACTGTCCAATTTTTCTTGATTGGGTATGGTAACAGAAATGTTTGGTGGTGGTACCTAAAAGAGATATGCATGGAGTATTTTACATGGCTGTACATGGATGTGAATTTTTTCTTTGAGTGAGAGATTTCTGATCATCAATAGAAGATAAATTTGTATCCAAAAGCAGACAATAGTGTAATATTCTGTTCAGCATCATAACTATTTAAATCGACGACAGCTTTAAAACATTGTATTTTTGAGAGCGCCTAATGCAGAGATCACCAAAACTTGCCCCAACCATCATTAACTGATTCAATTGAAAAGTCTTCCATTCACGGTTCCTGCATGAATGAACCCTTTTAGTTTGCATAAATGAACTTTGTGTAACAATATCGATATCAAGTACATCACATCTTTCAAGACAAAACTGACAGAGCATTTAAACAGATCAATGCCTTTTTTCTATTACTAGAGGAGCGGGGGAATGGCACAGTAGTGAGAGAGTTTGCCTCTCACCACTGTGGCCTAGGATTCCAGGACCTGGTGTCAAATGTGTGTTATGTTTTTTGTTGGTCCTCATCCCAGCTCCATGGGTTTTTCTCCTAGTCCTCTGCTTTTCCTCCATCCACAAAAACCAACATTCTAAATTCCAGTTCAACCTGGAAACAGTGGACAAGGATAGCCACCTCATAGAATGTGCACTGCTAAATTCCATTTCCTTTTTCCTTTATTAGATATATTTTAAGACAAACATGTTCAAAAATACCTGACTCTTGTGATAGGTTTGGTGCCAGAAATTGTCGTTAGAATAAAGGTTTGGATCCAATGTTGGTACCACTTTGTCACGACTTTGCTTCTCGACTTTACTTGCAAAGCGCAAGAGATCAAAATACAAAGGATGTATGGTAGCTTGAGTTGTTGGAGCAGTTATTTTCATATCAGTAATATTGTTTTCAGTCACGATAGCTTCCTGATAGGATACCCACACAGCACGCCACCCCTTCAAATGAAAAGAATGAAGTGATTATTGTACAGCTGGTTTCAATATCAACATGAGGGGACCCAGGGAGGTTAATGCCTCCTGGACATAGCAGGGGTTTCAAGCCTGTTACCAGTAGTCTACCACCACCTCCTTAAGCCTTACAGCTCCCAGAAGTGATTAACATGTAACTTCTCCCTAAAATATTCATACATTATCCAGCAAACAGGTAGTGAGAATACTCAAACTCATCAGGTACAAGTTATTACCTTGATTGCACACCAAATTCTTGCAACAAATTTACAAGGAAATGTCTAGCAGCTAGAGGGGAGAATTAACAATCAGATCTTGGGAGTTAAAGGCCTATGTGCAGGCTCTCATGTTTTGCCTTACAGCCCTTTTCCAGGCACAGCTGTCTATTATATTATCAACAGCAGCTTATGTAAAAAGTTACTGAACTTCTGTAATGCCTGTAGTGTATGTAAGGTACATTTCTTGTGTCATACATAACATAGGTAAGCACGCAATGGAGGTTGGAAGTTGATTATTAAAGTAGCATGGCAGACGTTTAGATTAGATTTGTGTGTTGCGTCCTTTCTTCGCGAACATCCATTTCCATGCCCATGATTTTACCCAAATTACTTTCAGTTGCTGCTTTGCTCCATTTCTCTCTTCTCCATTTCTCTCTTTGACTGTCCCCCCCCCCCCCACCCCACCCGTTTGGATAAGTATTCATTCTATGTACAAGTATTTTGGTGTCCAGATGTTTGGACGTGGGCTGTGGTTTGGTTGCCTTAGTAACCTCCTTGATTTTATGGAGATTGCTGTCCTTCTCTGTCCTTATCTTTGAAATAACCATCCCCCAAAGCTATCAGTAAGGTGTATCACCATAGCATTTTATCATAATATTTATTAACACTGTCAACAAGTAATCCATACACACCCCCTACCAAACAAGTCTGTAGGCTCAGATTTATAGCCTGCTTACGGCCGAAAAAACAAGGTTCTGTAACTTACAGTGCAATCCAGGAAAATGAGGTCAATATAAGTTATTTACTACATCTTTGAGTTCAAATAGAGGGGAAAAATTTCAAGTCAAACAAACTCTTGAATTTAGCAGGTCACAGAGAAATATGACAGGCTAAATTAACTAATCACAGCCCACATAAGAGCTAAGGTCCATACATGATCATACTTCAAATGTGAATAAAAATCAATGTTTTACATTACCGCCATAAAACATTTCCAATGCTGTAGTTGTAAATGCCGCATTAATAGAAGAAACATCTGCTACACTTCAAAGCATGCTCATACGCATCATCAAGGTATACAAAGGCAATCTGATGCAAAATTGCAAAATTGAATTTGATCACAGGAATTTAACAGCTGTTTTGCAATGTTACCTCTCACCTTAAAATTCAGCATAATATTGAACTGTGATACAGTAACAGTGGTGGACGTATTATTTTGGAAAGAGACAGTCAAGTTCTCTCCTGCGCGTGGATAAGTGTTGTAAAGCCACAACTGAATCCCTCCCTTTTTAAGCTCTTTTCCTGAAATCTGAAATGTATGTTGCAGTTAATCTATGATCTCAGTTATTTTTAATGAACACATCACAAACACTTGTACACAAACCTGGCATACATTTGTAGCTTTAAAATAGGTTCACAAAATAGGTTCTGTTTACTTACTATGCACCAATATTTTCAGTTCATCTTTCACTGGGTAACAAATTGCATTTTTATCACTAGTTTATTTTGGGGGTGGGATGGGGGGTTGCCAAGATTGACAAAACGAGTTTGTAAAACATGTTAAATTATTCTATCACATAAACTGCGGTGTTATACAGGCCCTGAGAAAAGCCGTAAAAGTTACGTATTCAGTGGCTTTGGTGTTAGTATTTCTCTCGGCTGACAATGAAAATCGACAACTAGAAGATTTGTCGCTGGCCGATTTTGGCCGTTTACCTGGAAGACTTCTTCTGTCGGTAAGGAAAAAGTCAGTAAATAAGAATTTTGCAAATTGAAAATTATGACCATTGTTGGTTTTGTAATCATGATTCAACGCATTCTTCCATTTTAAGAGTCAGCGCCAACGCACTTTACGATCGTTAGTCGAGGATTGTCGATTCATTTATTTTCATTCATTAATGAAGTTGGCTTTTCTTCTCAGTAAAGGGCTATTGTGTTTATATGAGTGTTCAACTCGACATCTAAGGGTTAAGGGCTATTGTGTTTATATGAGTGTTCAACTCGACATCTAACTCGTGAGCTATCGAGTTACACACTCGACGAGAAATTCCATATCTACGCGCGCCCATGTATTAATCTCTATTTCCTTAGCTAGTTGAAGATTTAAGGCTAAATTTTAAGTATGTGTTCAAAATAGGTAAATAAATAATCAAATTCTCCTTGTCATTACCTTGAGAAATGTAAGGAGGATAGTATGGAGAAAATACATACTGATGTTAGGGTGCAAAGGGTTTAAACTTACCGCTGGGGAGAAGGTATGTGTCATTGTATCTCCACTGGCCCAAGTCCACTTCATTGAATGTGATCCATCTTTATACCGTAAAGACGATTGCGCAAGTGTCGATGTTGCTGGAACACTGAAGGCATTAACATCAGAGACGGCCTCAAATGTATACTCTTGATTGGAAGAGATGAGTTAAAATTAGTAGACACACTAATTATTCTTTCGAAGAGCAGTCCCGAGATTTTTACCTCTCATCGTTTAAGAAGATCAATTGAAATTCTTCAATCTGGGATTTTTTCTTCTCTAAAATACCATGAAAATGTCTTAATGATAAATCTTGTCAGTATCATTTTCGTTAAATATAACTGGTTTCGGACTTTCGAGGCTGGTTTCGTTGTTATTATTTTGTCTGGCTTTGTAACCAAGTCTCCTAGACATCGCGTGACAATAACATAAGTCATGGCTCTTTGAAAATTGCGCGGGAAAAGTCAAAAATAGGTAAGCAAAGAAATATCGCACCATTCGTACAAATCGGTTTTTTCAAGTGAAATGTAAAATTTAGTCATTAGTAAATATTTAACTCTCTAAATTGCTTATCAATAAAAATTTACGGAATTATGTAAACAAGTACTATGGTCTTTTGGTACTATTGAGGGATCTCCAAGACTTACTCGATAAGTTGCAAACAATGAATACTTAAATAATAATTCATGAGAAGCGAAGCGGCTCAGATCTAAGTTAAAATACACTTATGGATGAACTGAGTCGATAGATTTTTAAACTGTTACCTGCAGCTCCCTCGACGGGTTTTAAGAATGAAAGGACAAAGATCACAGAGAGGGCAAGACGTAACTTTCTCCTGTATGAAAATAGTAAATATAAACATCGAATAAAACAAATATCTATATATATATACATGTACCGTAAAATTTTTCAAAGTAAACTGGACCATCTAACGTTGCAATGATGATGATGCGTCTAAGTTTCACGAGAAAAACTGAACAAACCATCAGGTTAAAAAATTGACACAAGGAAACAAAATACTTATGCCCACTACATATCTCAGCCCCCCATTACGATGACCAAATCTTACCAGTCTTGTAAATATAAAACCACACGTAAACAAGAATGAGGCAAATGCATGACGAGCTTTGCGTCGGGAAAAATTTTTATGCAAATTAGCACATTGAACGTGCAGCTAGCTAATTTGCATAAGTAATTCAAGCCAAGGTTTGACGCCTCTTGGTGGCATAAGGTGTTCGGTGAACATTCCAGGACATCCGATAATCGCTATAGAAAGGTTAATAAAGCTCTCCCCGAATGAAATGGAAAAAACCGCAACTTCCGATGATTACATTTCTAATCATTTTCAAGATACAACTCTACTTTGTTCGCTCACGTTCCAGAAAGAAGAGTCCATAGAAATGCATTATACAAACTTAACGGGTCTAGTTAGGAAAAACCTAAGGGGCGGTACGCTAAGCTTATTTTCTCTGTAAATAGAAAATAGATGTCTTAAAGAAGACAACAGTAAATCGTTAACACAAGGTTCACAAATAGTCCTGACCAAATGTTATAGAAAAATATAACAGGAACACTTTAAAACAAGTAAAAAGAAGACACTCAAAAATAGCCAAAAAAGCGGCACCGGTAAAGCCGATTTCACCTCCACGATCGAAGACCTAAGCCTATTTAAGGTTAACTCCAACAAACCCTTCTTTACACAGAACTTTCAAAGTCCAGAAGCTGTGTTGATTAGATAATCCAGAGAATACTTATCGCTTTCAACTGATGGTCTCTCCGTTTGGTCTACAAGCTTCGGCGCAATGCAACTATTCTTTTAACGACCTTTTATATACGAAGGTTTTGGAACGGCATTTTTAGCTTTTCCGAAGACATCACTCTTGCCAAAACGACGGGAATATATATAACGGCGTAATATGTGACTAACACAGTCTATATACTGTAAGATTTTGCACCACATATATAGATTTTACGCCAGTAACTAACGGCGTAATTTCTTCCAGTCGGTTGTGTTTATATGTAAGATTTACGCCAGTAACTAACGGCGTACTTTCTCCCAGTCGGTTGTGTTTACATGTACGATTTTACGGCAGTAACTAACGGCGTAATTTCTTCCAGTCGGTTTTGTTTATGTGTAAGATTTTACGCCAGTAACTAACGGCGTAATTCTTCCAGTCGGTATATTATATATTGTAAGATTTTACGCCAATAACTAACGGCGTAATTTCTTTCAGTCGGTATATTATATACTGTAAGATTTTACGTCGTTAGTTAACGGCTTAAAATCTTACATATATATACACCGACGCAGATAGTGGCGTAAAATCTTACAGTCTATAGACTGTTAGTCACATATTACGCCGTTATCTAACTGCCGTTGATTTACCGCATCAACAACACGATGATATTTCGAGACCTCGCGAATCCATCTGCTGGAATTCTCCTTGTCTAATCAGTCCGGCACAGAGACCAATTGAAGATTTAACATACATGTTGTTTGGTTACTTGGCGTTGAACGAACAGCCTATGTTGGCGCGCTTGAGACCTGCTGGCACGACAGAACGTTTGTAGTCATCGCGGAATCGAAGAAACAATTCGTTCTTTGCAAAAGCATTCGGCCTGATTTTACATTAACTTTTCGTTAGCACATACCAGTTTTTTTCGGGGTCGAGATTGGATCCCGTAACTACAGAAAGCTCAGCCGATCGATCGAAGACTTCGGCCTTCATGATGAGATCGCGCCAAGTGATTCCAATGCAAGATTTATTGTATTTTCGTAAATGAAATTCGAGCATAGATGAAGTATTAATTATTAGGTGAAACTTTAACTTATAATCAACAGGTTTAAGTAACCGCATAGATACCTACGGACCGCAAGTGTTCACGTAATTCTCTACACTTATGACAGAAATATAGCACCTCCGTGGAATGCATGCTGCGAATTTTTTCGGGGCCAAAGCTCCTCATGTTTTTTCTGGGTCACATTTTCAGTTCTAAGACATGAAGCTTGAGTTTTCTCCGAACTTGATATAATAACCATGAATATCACTAGCATAGCACTTCGCCTACTGTACTATTTGGTATACAGTTGTTTGAACACTTTCCTTACATGAAATAATGATGCCAACCTTTTATTCCTGAGAGTCCCTCTGTTATGTTTGATCCTCGGTGAAAACTTAATTTACATAAAACACTCATGCTATACACCCGTATTTATAGTAAAATTATTTCACGGCCATAATTCCACTCCCTAGCTGGTCGGATGAATAACGACACAATTTTTCTTTAAATTTCAGGCAATAGTTTTTGGAGGTACCTCCAAATGAAGCCTTTTCCCGCTCGACTATGTTTTGATCCCACGGGGGTGTTATATAAACATTTTTTCATAAGCATCTGCTGATGGTATAGTAGGTGGCTGTGCCCCAAGGCGAGACCCGAACACTTCAGCCTGCGAGCAAGCTAAACCCAAATGGCGGTGAGAGGTCTTGAAAAATCCCTGATCCCTTCCTCCACGTACAATTTTCAGCCAATCAGATTCTCCCCTTTTGTTACCGAAGGAATCCATGAACGTTTAATAAGCTCATGTTATAGGAACATCTTTGGGCCCAAGATGTTAGAGTCTACTCTTTATTTACACTTTACAACTATTTCAGGAATCTATCGAAGATTCCATCTTTCATACATCGCACTATGGCCTTTTTCTGCACTAAAAAGAGAGCTTTGTCTTGGTTCTGGCTGTCTTTAGCAAGGAGGTAAATGTTGGAAATCTTAGTTGAAAGGAGTGTATTTAGTTTTAACGGCCGGATCATTTAAATTTCATGAGGTCACGCTAAGGATCTGTTCTCAAGCAAGAAGTCGTTAGTAACTTGTAACAAAAATATTTGTGACTCCACGCTTTCGGTAAGCAATTGTTCCAAAACTCTGTTCAGACAGCTAGTATTGACGTGCGTTGATCTAACGTCTACATTCGAAATAAACATCTGCCCTGAAGTAAAAATAACTTTCTTGTAACTTTTGCTAACATCTGAATTCGAACTTCTGTTGCAAACTCAATTCTTAAATTCTCTACTTGGAGTGTTCGAAATGAATCACTGCGCCTTACTATTTTCCTCGTTTACTCTTAGTATACCTTAATTTACAAATGCCCCATTTACACCAGCAAAACATGTTCTCCCAAAGATGACGCTCACGCCGATATTGCATCTAACCGCGCGAGTAAAGAAGAGAATGAAGTTTGTTGCTGAAACTTAACTTTGGACGATACGGATTTTCGTCCTAGTAAATATTGAAAAAAAAAATTGGGGGATAAATGACTTTTTTCACAATAATTGTAGTGGTTTTGTGAAATAAAAGGACTTTAAAGAGAAGCTGAATCGCGTTTGTCTCTAGTGCTGAGGAATTCTGGTAGAGGCTGAGTTCGGCGTTTTTCTGTTGTGAGAATTTGTCACCCAAATGTAGACTCCTATAGACATATGGATCCAGACAAGATATTCAGGCAGCACGAAACAGCGAAGAAGCGCCAGTGCGCTAGCCGAGAGTTAGAAGTAGAGAAAGCTTCATTCACGCCGTAAGCCGTTTCAGCGCGACGGACAGTGCTGCTTTGGTGGAGTATAATACAAAATAATTTGGTTTTATCAAATGTGTTGCTAAGGTAAATTGGCCTCTGTAAAGAGTTTCTAAGCTGATATTTAGAAACTCTTTGCGGTGGCCAATTTACATCATCAGCTAAGTTGATAAAACCAATTATCTTACAGCTATTCCTGTAGAGAGAATGATTTTCGAGAGTAGATAACCTGATTAGAATACTTTTTATGGAAATCAAATGTAAAGCCGGAAATTCTGGGAAGATTATACCTCATCAAATTGTCCTCAACACTTTTGTCTTTATTTTTATGAAGTAAACACGTTTTCCCTTGAAACCAAGCTTTTATTATTAGTTGAAAGTATTAAACAACGAGTTCTTTTAAGAGAGAAATTTTTCAGTCGACTTTTTGTTGACGGGTGTGCATATAACTTATCATGAGAAGGTGAAATCGAAAGGCAATCACGATACTTATTAATTCTTAGGCGAGCATTGTTTAAACACCCGGCAACTGTATTCTTCCAGAATGCTTTTTGATCTGACACGTATACGTGTTGGTATCGAGGTGAAGTAAGGACTTCCTCATTTGAATACTTCGTTTGATTAAACAATAGAGTTTATGTTCTTGGGCATAAATATGTTTTGGGCTTGACTTAGAGTTATTTTAACCCGAGCTGCTAGGTAAGGGTTAAAATGACTCTGCGTCGGGCCCAAAACATATTTACGCCCAAGAACATAAACGCTGTTGTTTTATAAAACGAACATAAACCATATCAAACTTTGCCTATTGTTATGGTTTAAATTTTTTAAGACAATGATCCTTTTGTTGGCTGGCCTTAGGGATTTTTCCGTCCGGTTTCGCGAAATTATACTCGAGTCAAATCGGATTCAGTCGGCAAATTGTCACTGATGACATTTTTTCCCAACGGTAGCCTTCTTTGGAAATCAAAGACAAACCAACAGGGGGTGGGTCAGTAAATTTCAAGAGTACGCCAACTGCTTTGACTAAACTTTTGTCATACCGTGTGCGCATGTTTCGGTCTTACTCAGCCTCGATGTACTTTACTCTTATTTTAGTCGTCAAGTAAAATAATTAATACTTAGAATACAGCTTGTTGTATTATATCCTTGTAAGTTTATGTTTTAGCTCATGTTTTAGCAAGCGATGAGAACTGGCGGCTGCTATGCATTATCTCAGTTTAATATGCCATATGCGTTATGCTTCTTTGAAAATGACTTCTGTTTAAATTTACTTCGTGCATGGCTTAATGATTATTTAACCAATTGCGCCTGGATCTACGTCGATCAGCAAGAAGACTATTTGTCTTTTGCACCTTTTCACGTTTAAATGATTTCGCTTTTCGCTAATTGTTCCACTGCTAACAGAAAAGAAAAGAAAAGAAAAAAAAAAGAATGAAGACACACCGCTCGATGTCGAGAGTGCGTGAAAAGGCGGGTTTACTTAGACTATTGTCAGGCCTCGCGTTTTTGTTTTTTGGTCTATCGAAGTAAGTAAACATCGCTGTTGAACGCACTGAACAAAAGGTGCGATTTTCGCACCTTTTTCCGTTTCAGTGATTTTATTCTCCGGTTAGCCTCAAACAAAAATCTTCATCGTCGCATTAGGTGAGTGAAAAAAAAAATGTTGTGACTGGTTTGGAATTGCTTGCGCAAACCGTTGTTTGTTATTCCTTTTTTTCGTGACGACTCCCTACATAGCGTGCTCTCACGATTGTCGCAGATGACGCAGAGTATCACTCTGGAGGGCATGCAGAAAATAAAAACTGAGCAAATGACAAGAAAACAGTCTGAACAACCACGCAAGCGTGCAAGCCGCCTAAAATACATTTTAGGCCTCGAAATCTCCATGTTATCCCGCAAAAATGTGCCACTTTGCCGTTAAAATGATAACAATTAAAATGATCAATATGCTCTTTAACCAGTCACCGGAACCTGCTTTTCAGGAAAACGCAGACGTGATTTTGAACAGTGGAGTTAAGTAGGTGTGTTATAAAGAAATTCTTACAAAGATTAGCTCTTGTAAAAAAGGTAAAATTTTATCACTGATCTGCTAAACTGTTTCTTTATTTTTCTCATCTAGTTTAAAATCTTTTTCGGTAGATGCCAAAATACCTAACGACGCCCTAAAGATATTGCCTGAATATATTTGCCTGGTTTTACAAATTTCCCCTCAAGGCGATAACTCGAATTAAAAATGTATGATGTAAAATGATAGCAGATTTGAATAATATTCTTGGTACCCATTTTTAACATCAAACTGAAAACGGTTTTGATGAGCACAGAAAAGAATAAAACAATAGCCTACATCCTATGTGGTTAAACGTAATTCGAAGGTAAGCTGTTTGTTAAACATTTGTCCACATATTTAAGGAAATGTATAACGTGTAATACACAAAAAGCCTTCACTCGTCCATGCTTCTCCTTGTACAGAGCTCCGTAATTATCTCCTAAGCTTCTCTTTGTAAAATACTCTCTTTTCGGAGCTGAAAACGTCGTTGAACAAATTCTCGAGCATATTAATATTTCATCTTAAAATTTATCGTATTTATTTTTTATTTAGTTCAAGTCTTACTAAAACTATAAGACATTATTTTTAATTGACTTCTTTCAGAGTAAGATGAACTCATATTTCGCGTATTTATGGCTCAAATTTGGGACGATTCTGCTGCTAACTACTGCAATCTCTTCAGCGAGCAACCAAATGGAAACACCGCTGGTCTTCATCAACAACATTTTCATGGATAACATCAGCATAGAAAATCATACAATTCAGACTGTAAGTGTGTTGGATCCCTGGGAGTGTTTTCGTCACTGCGCTAAACACTGTGACTGCGTTGCGTTTCAAGTAAGTGAGAAAATATGTGAGCTCCTGGGCACGGACATTGATGGAGCCATTGGAAATCAGGTGAAAAAACCAGGAACACGTTTCTATCATATGCAGCAAAATGGTGTGAGGGTAAGTTTGTGTTATTGTAGAGCGTTTTTCGATTGAAAGTCGCAATATAAAGTTATCGCAACGGTTAGTTGAAACGGGAGCCGACAAGGACTGCGGCACCTATCTGCACATAAAATGTCTCCAAAGTGGGAAAACGTCGTGGCGGAGACGAATCGCTTCGAAAAGTTTGCCTTAATTTGAGAATATCCGTGAAAATATTTGTTGCTGCAACAGTCATTAAAAAGCACAAATGACTCTCAATTCTAAACAGTGTGCGCCTAAAACAAAGAGAGATTCTGCTTGAGACTTAAAATTTCGTTTTGTTGTTGTTCATATTTGTTTTAGGAACATTATAGATGCCTTAATGGCTGTTGTCAATCAAACCCTTGCCTTAATGGAGGCACATGCGCAGAGAGTTGCGATAACATCAGGAAGCAATACACCTGTGCTTGTCCACGAAATTACCAGGGAAAGAGATGTGAGATATTCCATCCGAGAGTCAAATCGTGCCAATCCTATATAGATCTGAAGCCAGAGTCTGAGTCAGGCGTTTACAACCTAAATGATACGGTTCAAACTTATTGTGATTTTGACTCCGAAGCCGGCAAAGTCTGGACTCTCATCCAGTCATTCTCTCTAGAAAATAAGGCTTTTTACAAGCGAGAACCTTTTTACTTCAACTTCCCGAGAAACGAAACAAGATTTAACTGGAATGATTTTCGAGTGTCATATCAAGCAATGGTCAACATCCGGGACAACTCGACGCATTGGCGCGTGACGTGCAATTTCCCATCAGGCCTCGATTTCACCGACTACGCACGCGCGACTCTCCAAGCCACGGATATCCTAACATTTGTTAATCAGGATCGCTGTCGGAAGTACGAGTACATCTCGGTTCGAGGACAAAGTTGTACGGATTGCTCGGGGATGATTGTGCAGCGAGATACACAACATATGCATACTGACTCGTACTGGAGCGGGAGAAACGGTTGTTTCTGGGATCCAAGAATTGGCTCCGTTGTGGGCGAAGATAATTTTGGATTCTATAACACTATCAATACTCAACACAGTTGCACTGAAAATTCTCTTTCCACCACGCAATGGTGGCTGGGTGCTGGGCTTTAAATCTGAGCCCACACTCCGGTAAGCGCGAATCGTAGTGAAGCACGTGAACACAGTATAACGGCCAGAAGTCGGGCATGCGCAATAGGCTCAATTAGTTCTTAAAGCTTTTAATCACGTCACCATTTTGGCCGCCTCTTAGCTGTTTGAAGTTCGCACCTATGCATACGTTTGACAATTATGTTGAAATACACCCCACTGGTGTGAGCCACGAAACTTCTCGTGCGTAGTTTTCTCTAGTCTAACCACTCACTAACACGTGTCTCACGCATGCAACAACCAGCCCGTATCGTGAAAGGTACACCATGTGTGAGCGTCTTTCTCTCGGTCTTATGAAAAAATAACGTCGCATTCAATGTAATAAGCAGTCACCCACTAGCATCAATGACTTAGAACTCAGGAAGTAGAAGTTCAAGAAGTTCTCTTCACATAGAAAAGAAAGGCCGGCAAAATTGCACACTGAGATGCCGTGTAGAGATTTGTATTCATACTGTTTAGTTTTAGGTAAACTGAAAAATTTAAAAAAAAACAACAACAATCATGTAACATATTGTTTTGAAGGCTTCCTGTTGGTCAATGTCAATATCTAAAAGAATCAATTTAAGAAGTTTAGTTTTAGGTAAAAATATAGATAGAGCAATTTAATCTCGTAATCATTACCAAGCAAATGTACTGTTTTGAAGGCTTCCTGTCAGTCAATGTAAATTTCTAGAATAATCATTATATCTATTAAGTGTTTGTTGGAGAGAAAAGCGAATTCAACTTCTTTAACCCCTTAACTCCCAGATCAAATTTGTAATTCTCCTTACCTTCAATCATACAATTCTTATAATGTTATTTCAGACAATTTAGTAGTGGATCAACTAATTATCCTCAAAAGGATATTTTACTTCATTCTCATCACTTATCTGGTTGATATTGTATTGATATTGTAAGGAGAAATTATGTCTTGGTCACTTGTGGGAGTTCAAGGGTTAAGGTCCTTTTATTTCACAACATTACTGCATTTGGGCAGCGGCAAAGAAAAATAACTTAGTAAGATTTTCCTGTCCTAATAACTGATTTATGACTGATTTTTATAAATGCGAAATATGCCATGGTATTTATAGGGTGTTTAAACACCAGATACCAATAAGATTCAATAAGATCGCATCTAGAGGAATTCACAGCAGAGAGGAGGTCAGGAAAATAGTGAACACTTGTACTTCAATTTAAAATAATTTTGAAAGTTTAAAATCTTGGGGGGGGGGGGGAAGGGGGAGGGAGGTGTAAAAGCAAGGAAAGAGTAAATAAGGAATTAAGCTGATAACAAATCAGCCAGCAGCACATCCCCATTAGCCTTTTTCTAGGTAGCACCCCCCTTCCCCCTGGAGAAAATACTATAACAGTGGATTCTAACATATAAGAAATTGCACTATCATGAATTAGGCACTGTAACTATATAACCTCAATCTTGTGATTAGTCTTTCCTGACTACATACTTCAACCTCTCTGTCTGCCTGTGTGTATGTCTGTCTCTCCTTCTGTCTGGCTGTATGTTGGACTGTATGTCTGTCTCTCTGTCTGTCTTGCTGTATGTCTGTCTGTCTATATGTCTGTCAGCCTGCCTGTCTATCTGTCTGTCTGTCTGTCTGTCTGTCTGTTTGTCTGTCTGTCTGCCTCTATCTGAATGTTTTTTTCTCTCTTCACTAGTATGTTTCCCTCTTTCTCTTTAAGTCTCTCTCTCTCTCTGTTTGTCTGTGGCTTGATTGGACAGCTTTTTTTCTACTTTCTTCCCTTTTAAACTATACACTGAGGAGAAAATTCAGATTAATTTTTTTTTAATCCATTGCTATTTTCTGACTTCCCTTAAAAACCCTTTAAAAAGTATTATCAAAAATATAACTGAAATGCTTTACAACTTTTTCATTCAAACTAAACTTTAAAATGAATACTTAAAAATTATAAGATGTCCTCCTCTGTTCTTGTCCTAGAAAACAATGTTATTAAATTCCTGTTTACATGCTTTCCAAAATTCTTTTTATGTTCTGTGCTTCCTGGAAAAAAAAAAAAAAAAGATGAGGATAAGTTCATGTATATGTTAGAGGATTGTACTTTAGATCTATCTGTTACAAACTATTAGTTATTTTGTGAAGTAATAAAAATAGAAATTATTGGAAAGAGAGAGTTGTAAATAACAAACTTCAAGGAAAGTGAGAAAAATGAATAAATGTGGGTATTCTCAAATTTCTAATTACATGATAAGCTAAATTATGTATGCCTTTTGATTGGTTCTTACTAATGATTAATTGGGGGACAGATGCATAGATGTCATTACTTAATACACAAACAGTTTCCATGTTGTCGTGGATCTGTACAGTAATAGATTACAGAAGATGTCAAAATGTGGTAAAAACATCAGTGATCTATTACAGAACATAGAATAAGAAAGTTGGAAAGTTTTAAGCTCAGTTTAACAAATAGATTCCAAGTTGCCATGCGTCTGTTCAGGAATAGATCACAGATGATGTCAAAATGCAGTAAATACAAAAAAGTGGCACACGAGGCGCAGCCAAGTGTGTCACTGATGTTCTTACCACATTTTGACGTCCTCTGTGATCTATTACTGAACAGGTGCATGGAAACTTGGAATCTATTTGTTTTATATAATAAAGAATTAAAAAAATTTTTAATGATGACATCATCTATACGTCTGTTCTCCAATAGATCATAAGTGAGAACCAATCAGAATGCGTGCATAACTGAGCTTATTATATACAAAGAAATAGAGAAAGACTAAATTACAGAACACATGCACAGCAACATGGAATCAATTTTTAACTTTTATGAACTAATCAAACATAGAAATGATTGGAAGAAAGAGTTTTCTATTACAAACTTCAAGGAGGATGAGAAGTTTGCATCAAAATTAATAGTTGTAGGCATTTCTCAGATTTCTAAGTTACACAAACATTTTTTTTTTTAACCTTTGACTCCTAAAAGAGACTAGTATCTAATTTTACCTTCCACCTTCACCCTAGGATCAAAGGAAATGATCATTCGCAAAAGAAGCCCTTAATTGTTAAACAAATTCTCCTTGTCAGCAACTTAGGAAATGTATAGAGAACAGTATGGAGAATATGCATACTGATATTAGGGTGCAAAGGGTTGATAAAACTTTGAGTTTGTTCTCAATAATGAGATTGCATGATATCCTATAAAAATCTGGATTTTTTTTTTTCACTTGCACTTATTATTGTGGTTGTTGGAGAACTCTCATTTTACCTGCAGATTTGTAAACACAAATGATCTTGAAATGTAAAGCTTCTTTGCTTGATTGTCAAATCTCCACATATTCAGAGAGACGCCTGAATGAAAATCAGAGTCAATTGATTGTTAATTCTCTCATCTACCTGTTACACTTTACTTGTATCTTAATTGCAAGAGTCTGGTGTTAGATCAAGATAACAACTTCTACCTGATAAATAAGAGTATTCTCATTTCCTGTTTGCTAGATAACATATGGATATTTTAGGGAGATGTTACATGTTTAACACTTCTGGGAGTTGAAGGGTTCAAAAGCTAGGCCAATAACGCGAAACACACATTTAACGTTAAATTTATAATTCTCAAGAAAAATGCCAGATTGAAATTTTAGCAATGGCGTCAAAAAAAACAGGATCGGATTGCAGATTGGATCACGAATCGCCACCTGATCCTGGTTTTGTCAATGCCGTTGTTAGCAACGCAGTTGACTACTCTTAAACATTAATACCTTGTACTGTCCTGTTGAACCTTGACGACTCATCGCCAATGAAGAACGAACCATTTGTAAACGTGAACTGCTCGATATTCCTTGTATTGATGATTACTTCCTCTTGCAAGGGCTTATACAAGGTTTCTCCCTTGGGCAGAAAATCTTCGGACTCATAAACCAATCCATTTGCACTGATCAGCAAAAAATTTTTGGGAGAATGCGAAGTTGACGTCCAATAATTTGTGGGCATGTTGGTTCTCTTATGAAACAAAGAACCATTTTTGTTTGGGCGATCGAAATCATCGCGTGACAAGTTCATAACCTCTTGTTCATCTCTTTCCTCTGTTCGCTGCCGTTTTGCACAACAGGCAGTAGTGAAACCATTTTGCGATGACGATGAACTTAAGAAAGATATTTCCGTTTCAACATCCATGGCAGGAAATTGCTATATTTATATGAAGTTTGTTAGGACTGGTGTTAACGCATAATATTCGCATGAGTTTACGCGCAGGTATTTCGATTGAAAAGAGGGAACTAAAACAATATCACAAACTCGCCATCTTGAACTTGGTAGCCTCCCCGTTCACATCATTTGAAATTTCGCGCCTCGTTCCAGTTTACAACTCGGAGATGGCGGTTTCAGAAGGTAAAAAATTAACCGAGTTAAATTCTTGACAAAAGACAGACATACACAGTAACCAGTCAATGAAAAAAAACCAAGCTTAAATTACCTTTTTCTGTGCAGCATCATGTGTGTGTTTTTATTCATCTGGGTTCAGTTTTTCAAAGGGCAAATAATACTATCCTTTGAATAAATCACTATCCAGCACATAAGTGATAACAAAATGTACAGCGCTATCCAGCAGATATAGATTTATACAGTGGATAGCATTATCCAACCTTTGAACAAATGTAGCCTGTTTAATTATTTTTCAGTAGATTATTGGGAGGGTGACATGTGATGTGTCCCTTATATTGTGCACATTGGTACATTTGGGTTAAGAATAGTAAAGGATGTGACTACCTATGATAAAAAAAAAAATTGTTCTTACATAAATATGTACATATCAAATTTCCTAATTACAAGTGTAGCAGTGAACCCTTTGACACTAAACACTTGAACCACTAAGAGTGACTGGCATCAAATTTCTCCACACTGTATCACCCCTGAATCACACGTTAAGGTCATGAGAATAAAGAATAAATGAACACCAACAAAAGAAGCTTTGATTGGTAAACAAATTCTCCTTGTCAGCAGCTTAGGAAATGTATAAAGAGCAGTATGGAGAATATGCATACTGATTTTAGGGTGTAAAGGGTTAATTTTCCCATAGGTGTAGCAATTTAAGATGCAACAATGTTTTGACATATGGATACAAAAAGCAACCAAAATTGCAGCATTGTTATCAATGCTTAGACACTAATCATAGTCATCAAGGTTTAACGCTGGAGCAAAGTTATGCACCATCATTTTAACCCGTTCTTTACTCTGTTTAATTCTTTGTACAGTGTCTTCAACCATGGACAACCTTTCTTTCTCTTCATTGTATCTTTGCTCCAAATCTTGGCATCTTTCCTTACAATCTTCTTCTTTAATCTTAATGCCATCAAGTTCAGTTTGCAGACGGTTTATTTTCTGTCGCAGTTCACTTTCATCCATTTCTAGTTTCTTGATCAGTTTCTTTTCATCCAGGAGCTGTTCCGTTACTTCTTCCATGGTCCCAAGAATGCTCTCAGCCTCACCTAAAGGTGATAAAGAGTTTCACTCATCAATTCTTCCCCCTTTTAGTTTCCTTTTAGTTTCATGAATATTCTGTATTACTGTCAGTCTCTCAGAAGCTGTGCACCTACCTCTCTCATAACCCAACAACAGTTACCCAATAACATGTTAAGGCTAATGTTGGGTCAGGGGAGGGGTAGGTTCACTGTTGCTCAGATACCAACATTGAACCAGTATTTTTTACTATTCAGCTGATCTGATGGGACAGCAATTTTCTTGCTCTAATATCATCAGGGGTTTCACAAAAAACTAGTTACCAGTAGTCTACAGTAGACCTCTCATTGCCCTCAGTTTAGCAAGCAAACAGGATCTTATGTTTGGATTCTGCCTTATGGCACAGCCACCAATTACACCATTGATAGCTGCTTATGGAAAAGATTAATTAAACCCCTGTATCCTTGGAGCTGGGAAACCTATTTAGAAGTGAGACAGAGAAATGGCTCATACTCCATAGCCTGATTTTATCCTTACCATTCAATGCATTACATCTAAGAGTAAGAGATTGGTATTCTTCTACATATTGTCTTGTTTGCTCTTCCAGCTTTTGAAGTCTCTCCTTCTCCTTCTGCATTTTGAAGTCAGATATTATTTGCTGAATTACAGTGTTTACTGCAGTGGACTTAACAACAGTCTGACATGTTGGGCATTTCTTGCAATCACGTAAACATGCCTGGCAAAAAGTGTGTCCGCAAGGTATTGCAGCCATGGGTGTGTGTCTTGGACCACTCATTAGTTTTTCACAGAGTGGACAAGAGTGGCTGGCAATACCTGATTCATTATTTTCCTGGGTATTCTTTTGCTGTTGTTTATGACTGACACTAGGTTGCAATGACGCTTTTAACCTCTCTGCAACAGTATCTGCTAACGCATTGAGCATATCAGCAGATAACTCTGGAGTGTTGTGTTTCTCAGAAGAAGCGCTTAAAAGACTATCCTTGTTTTGAGTGTTAATTACAGTATCGCTAAAGGAATTAGTGACTGTATTTCCATAAATTTTTCTGTTCCTATCTGATGATTCATCATTATATATGTCCCTATCAATTTGATCACCAACTTGACAACTTGTATCAGATTTTAAGGAAGTTCGTGATGATGGCCTTTGCTTGTTATGGAGAGTCTGTTGACTAGTAGTGAGAGCTGTGCTATTTAAAGACCCAGAAGAATTCGAGTTTGCATAATTCGATGGAGCATACTGCATGTGATGGTCACTGCTGTCTTCCGTATGATTTAAGCTTGGGTTTCTTTTGTGACTACCTGAGGCAGAAGGAGGTCTCTGTTTCCTAGAAACAGGGTTATCACCCTTGGATATCCATGGAACTACATCTGAATGATCTCTCTGTGGCTCGGGATACAAAGGTTTCCTTCGTGGATTACTGTATGGATTTCTATTGACAGCATTTTCAGACGATGAACCACTAGACAAACTCGAACGGGCTCGAAACTTTGGCACATCTGGCAGTGCAGTAATATCTTTGCTCAAAGACTTCAATTTTGTGGACGATGACTTAGAAGCTTCTCTTTCCTTCATCCACAGACTTTGTTTTTCACGAATTGCTTTGACTTTTTCAGCTGTTTCTTCTTTGGTTTTGCCGTCTTTCTTTTGATTTGTTGACTTCGTTTGCAGTTTCTTACCTTGCAAAGACATCATCACATTGCACCTATGCTGAGTGAAACAAATAAAACTCCTGTAAAACCGCGAAGAAAGTCTACAAGTTCGTGAAAGACCTCATCACCAAGACGCCATTTTGGTTTGTTTGAGCTTGGCTATTTCTTGTGTGGTTACCAAGCAAAGAGCTACAGAGCAAAGGCTAGATTTAGAGGGGAGGGGTAGATCGGGTTAAAAATACAGACTTCAAATTATGAGATTCAAATTATACCAGGGGAATGTATCCCAGACACAAAATATCAGCAATATTTTATTATTAAATAAAGATAAATATACTTCCACGTAATGAAAATTCACCTTCAAAATTGTCGAAAGGTTCCTACTAGACAAACTGTAATCTCTAGTAGCCCTCCCTAGGAAAAAATCGGACGCAGTGGGCCTGATGAGCTGGCCGTGCTTTCTCCAATATAAGCCATTTGCAGGCAAAAGACCCGTGAAAACTTTCTGAATTTTTGTTTCACAAAACTAGAAGGCTGATCCTCGGATGCCATTGAATATTTCTGTGTTTCAGCAGTAAGTAAAATACCATCAAAATGTCGACGTCGGCGGTTTTCGTTCTTGATATAAAAGGAAAGGTAGGTTGGCCGAACTCTAAGACTTTTTATATACCGTAATATTTTACATTAAGACTGAGAAAGTTTTGAAGAACTGCTCGTACTTTTACTACCCAGGTGATAATTTCTCGGAATTATCGTGGAGATATTGAGATGTCCTTGATCGAAAAGTTCATGCCTCTTGTGTTGGAAAAGGAAGAAGAAGGAAGTCAAACGCCCATTTGCGTTCACCAGGATGTTACTTTCGTATATATCAAGTACAATAATCTCTATCGTATCCTTCTGTTTTTACGATCAGGTGTTACTACATCTGAGCAGTACGGTACAAATTGTTTAAACGAGTTACGGATGAAAATTCAAGGCTTACCAGAGACTAGATACAAGCGTAGTGTAAATCAAAGTTTCTTTGGTAGATCAAAGATCGTGGCTTTTATCAAAGGGGTGTTCCTTGTGCTCAGTGAGATACGAGCATACCATTCGCTACATATCAGAGTGCATTCGACAATAATCTCATGCTGAAGTCATTAAAAGGTTTACAGAATCTGCAACCAACTATAATTTTTCTTAATGAGAAATAGGGTCAGATAAATGATGCTGGCATTATCCTGTACATAATGTTATAATCAGAGCATCAAGCGTAATATCGGCATAATATCTAAACTTCTTAAAATTCCCGTTGTGTTACATTTCAAAAGGAGATATACTCAGTAGCCGAGTAATGAGCATGCTTTCATTGCTTAAATTTTTGGAATTTGATCTTGTAAAATTTTGTGTTCTGAACTTGGATAAGACTTTAATTCTAACCAAGTTTTACCTGTTGGTGGTAGGAAGGGGCGAAGAAAGGGGGATTTGAGGGGGTCTGTGAACTATTTATTTGAATCACTAAATTGAGCATATTGAAAAATTTGAGAAAAATTATCAGCATAATGTATGTTTCTAGGGGTTATGCTCAAAAGCACAATGATCAAATTTTTCACCATAATCTATCAGTGACACATGCAGATGCACCATGTGTTTCCTTGTTGTTTGATCAAGATAACAACTTAAACCTGATAAGTTTAAGTATTCTCATAACTTGGTCGCTGGATAATGTGTGGATATTATAGGGAGAAGTTACATGTTAATCATTTCTGGAGTTAAATAAGTTAAATATCTAGGGTCAAGTGCTTTCACCAGAGTTCCTTGACTTCAGTTTCCAGTGGTATCAATGACAAAGAAGAATGCAAATGTGGCTTTGTTGTTTGTTTTCCTCCACAAGTTAGTGCAGGTAAATATTACTTGGATGGGGTTGTCATTAACCCTTTAACTCCCAGATCAAATTTGTAATTCTCCTTACTGTTAATCATACAATTCTTAGAATGTTAGTTCAGAGAATTTAGCATTGGATCAATTAATTATCGCCAAATTGATATTCTTCTTTATTCTCATTAGTTATATGGTTGATATTATATTGATATCGCAAGGAGAAATTTTGTCTTGGTCACTCATGAGAGTTAAAGGGTTAAGCACCAGCTACCAGGGAAAATTGCTAAATGAAAAGGAGGCATTTGCCAGCCAGAGTTTTAGCTGGAAATTGCTTGGTAAAGCACAATGGGCATTCTGAGTTTATGTACTTACACTTTTTCAATATCCCAGGCTATCTTTGGGTGGCCTCGCTTGAAATTACAACAGGCAACCAAACTTCTTGCAAATTTCATCTTTAATTATAATATACAATCAAGTTGGGTCTACTTCTTCCATACAGAAATTTGATTTTAATAACAAACATAAACTCTTCTTGTTTATTTTGATTAAGAACACATCATGATTTAGATGTTATGCATTCACTGCAGGTGTTTACAGAATACTTCAAGGAACTTGAGGAAGAAAGTATCAGAGATAATTTTGTGATTATATATGAACTGCTGGATGAGTTGGTGGACTTTGGATATCCACAGTTTACTGAGACAAAGATCTTACAGGAGTAAGTAATTTCTTTTTTAACTCTTTCACTCTTGTTAAGTTTCCTTACCTTCTTCTCTACAATTCTTTTAAAGTAATTTTGGAGAATTTGGTATTGGATCAACTAAAAATCTCCCAATTTACATTTTCTTTTTTTATCACTTCAATGCTTGAAATTATGTTCATGTTATAAGGAGAAATGCTGTCTTGGTCACTCATCAGAGTTTAAGGTTTAAATTGCCCTGAGATGGAAAAAGGTTATTATTGTTCTCTCCTTTAATTCCTATTTTATTCAGAGAAAATGCATCATGCAAAATATTGCACTTCAACCCATAATATAAGTTTGATTTTGTTTGCAACAATATATCCCTTGCAAACTCTGCCATGACCATATTTCCTTCCAGTCAAGTTGTAGCAAGAGAGTAGAATTAAAAAAGAAAATAGTATAAAAGATTTATAATCTTCAATTTTCAGTATAGGAACCAACCAATTTAGGATGTGAAGTGAGATTGTATTCCCAAGATCTGATTGTTAATCCTCTCCTCCAATAGCTACTTTTTCTTTTTAAATTAGTGAGGTGAATTTAATGTTGGATCAAGACAACAACTTCTACCTGATAATTTTGAGTTAACAAGTTCTGGGAACCAGATAAAGGGTTAGGGGGGTTGTGATGTCTTTTTTACTTCTGATCACAGAATACACATGCACCCTACAGTAGCCTGCCAATTGTTATGAAATCCAGTGAGATTTCTATCTCATAAGATAGCTCACAGTAATCGCTACATTGACATATTTTCCAACAGGTATATTACTCAGGAAGGTCACAAGTTAGATGTTGGTGCACCTAAACCTCCTGTTGCTTTGACAAATGCTGTCTCATGGAGAGGAGAGGGTGTGAAATATCGCAAAAATGAAGTTTTCTTGGATGTGATTGAATCAGTCAATCTTTTGGTAGGCTACCTTTGCTTAAAGTTTTACGACTATAATTTATAGTAGTAGTCTTGGGGTTAGTTAATGAACCAATCATAGGTTTTTATGAGGAAATGTAGGAGCAGAAGAATAGTATAAGTGTCTGGAGAGTATTTTCCATATCTAAATAAAACAGCTCAGATCATCAACATTTAGCTAGAGAATTTTGCAAGTTAGGTGGAGTATTCTCTGATATCTGATGCATTTCAACCAAGTTCAATTGTGACAATCAAAGCTAAGGAGTAAATAAGAAAGGTTGAATATTATTATGAGGGGGGGAGGAGTAGGGGTTGTATTGGTAGAGGCAGATAAGGATTGTAATAAGGCAAGTAGAGTAGCAAAACAAACTGAGAAAATGAATATGATAATGCTTCCTGCAAACCTCCCTGGGACCCCCACTTGTCATTTGTGAGGCAGCTGTATCAACTTGGTTTTAACCTTGTGGAATTACATTAAGCCTCATTCAGATGTAAGCCAGTGCTGGTTTCCTTTTAATTGGTTCGAACAGTTTTGAGTGAGTGACCCCAGTAACAATAGTTGTTCTATAAAATGTAATCTGGATTAGGAATTTTACTTTTGTGACTCTCACATGGTGTGCTAAAATGGCTCCTTAATTAGTTAAGTGTTCACTGCTGTTACCATCATCTCATGTGTATGTATGTTTCATTTTAGGTTAGTGCAAATGCTAATGTGTTACAGAGTGAAATTGTTGGTGCAGTTAAGATGAGATGTTATCTAACTGGCATGCCTGAACTGCGGCTGGGATTGAATGACAAAATTTTGTTTGAAAGCACAGGACGTAAGTACTCCTGTGTATCTGGTAAACCCATCTGAGATAGCCTTCCTTTGACTGAAATCTACTGACAGGTTCTTTGTTGTGTTCTATAGTTGCTTTGTGGTAGATAACCAATCAATGCATGGAAAACAGTGATTTTCTTTTTTAACTACTTTGTATGTGTCCTATGATGTGTGGTTTTGGTGAGAATGGGGCCATGGTATGGCTGTGTAGCAGTGCACAGAGCCTTAATAAACAATTCAATTAAATTCCATTAAAAAGGAAGGTTGACAACACACATGTAATAATTTTTGGTCAATAACTGACCAGGTTTTGATCATAGTTTATCTCTGTTTATATTTACTTGTTCAATAGGTAAGTATGACTTGTTTGTTTACATTACAAATGTGCTAAATTATAGATTTTACTTTTGACAGTTTGATTAAAAAAATTACATCTTTTGTTTTTTACAGGAAGCAAGAGCAAAGCAGTAGAACTGGAGGATGTCAAGTTTCATCAGTGTGTCCGTCTGTCTAGATTTGAGAATGACCGCACAATTTCTTTCATTCCTCCTGATGGTGAATTTGAACTGATGTCCTACAGACTCAACACACATGTAAGAGTTTTGTGGCACATTGGAAAAATCCTTGAATTTCTGAGTGTTTCTATAATATTATTGCTTAGTTTCTCACATAATGAAGACAGCAAGACAGGTTATTTTTCACAATAATAATAATAATGATGAAGGTTTATTAAAATACATGTCATTGCACAGAGTGAAATAATACCTTATTTACAATTTAAAAAAATTGAAAAAAAAACATATTTCACAAATTACATGTGGTTTCCTTTCTCTTCTGTTTATCTGCCTCTATTTTAGGTGAAACCCTTGATTTGGATCGAGTCAGTTATTGAGCGTCACTCTCATAGCAGAGTAGAGTACATGATTAAGGTTGGTTGAAAGAAAGTTTTAGTTACATATTAATAGAGTGGTAAGGTGAGACTGGGAAATATTTGGCTCAAGGTCTTGACTGAGAGCTGAACATTTTCCGTTGACCACAATCTAAGTGAGTCAGTAAACATTTTATAATTTGTGACTGCCACTTTTTTGTCTTTCTTCCTTCCCTCTTGAATTCTGCTTCTGGCAGGGCTGTACCCAGGGTCAGGTGGTTTTATACGCCCTCACTAGCCTGCACTGCTGACGAGTTAGCCTAATACGCTCCCAATCGTTTACACGGCCGGCCATGTTTGATTTAGAGCTAGATTGTACGGTGGGGAAGGACAACGTAAACATATTCGCATATTTAGGGAGGCTCATGTTGCGAATTTTGGCTACCTGTTGTGTTAGTAATAAATAGATGAATAATTAAGTAAATCAATGGATAAATATTTGAATGAATAAACAAGAAATAGGTAGAAATTTTTGTTAATGATTGTTTTGTTTTATACACAGGCCAAGAGCCAATTCAAGCGGCGTTCGACTGCCAACAATGTTGAGATTCATATTCCTGTTCCTCCAGATGCTGACTCTCCTAAATTTAAAGTAATATTTTTTATTGAACATTTTCCCATATGTCTGTTTTCTGTACAAGTATTTTGTCATCGAAGTAGTGGTAGGCACCCTAATCACTTAATGTCATATCCTTTCTCAGCAAACAGTAGGAGTTGTAAAGTACACCCCAGAGGACAATGAAATCGTGTGGAATATGAAATCCTTCCCGGTAAGTTCAAATGGTAGAATTAAGCCAAGTACAAGTACATTGTATGTAACCCAGCTCCTCGTTAAAAGCGCTGCGACACGAGCGTTTTTCGCCCGTGAGTTAGTTTGAGTCCTAAAGCAAAGCAAGCTGACAGGGCTGCAAAAGATTTGGAACTATTAATGACTTTATCAGTGCCAGTGTTAGACCTCTCGCTAGCGTGCGACTAGGACCTCCCTATTAGCGCCACGGCACGGACGTTTTTTCGTCCGTGAGTAAGTTTGAGGCCTGAAGCAAAGCGAGCTGACCAGGTCATCTGTAGTAACGCTGCAGGAAGCGCCTTTCTTCTTCCCGCTAGAAGATTTGAGACAAGTCGGGGAGAGGTTTGCTAGGGGAGTCTGGCACTAATAGTGAGGTGCTAGACACCTTGCAGACTTCTCACCGGTTCACGTTGCGTTGCGCTGGTAACCCTTTAAACCCCTTAAGTCATAATGCATATTCTCCATACTGTTCTTTATACATTTCCTAGGGTGCTGTCGAGGAGAATTTGTTTACTGATCAAAAGCTTCTTTTGTTGGGCATCATTTCCTTCATTCTCATGACCTTCTTGTGTGATTCAGGGGTGATATTGTAGGGAGAATTCAGATGTTAGTCACTGTTAGGGTTAAAAGGATTAATGAGGGCTTGCTCATAGGCTAATGTCCAACAAGTCTTTTTATTGTGGAAAGGCGTACTGGGGAGTAATATTCAAATGTAGAATTGGTTCTTCGTTATTTTTTCCCAACAGGGAGGGAAAGAGTTCTTGTTGAGAGCTCATTTCAGGCTGCCAAGTGTGGATTCAGGTTAGTCAAGTTTAAGGTGGTAGGTGTACATGTAACTTCTTCTTACAATGCCATTACAACTCAGTTGAGAACTGATAAAGGCATCACCTGGAGAAAGTTACCTTGATTTATCGCCAAAGGCAATGTTCATTAGTCATTGGAGAATTCTTTGGCTGCTACGCAGAAACTTTCCTGCTAAATTTCGACGGCCTAAACTATGTTTCATTCAGATGAGGAGTTTATTCTCCTGTGGAGCAGCCGAACATGTCATTAGAAACCCAAGAATTAGAACCGCCATCTCAACCTCATCATAAGATGAACTTTCGCAGAATTTCCCATTTGCGTTACTGAGAATTCCGCACACGTTGGTTCAGTAATCTTGGATTGTATACTTGCACTTGATCCAGGCTTTATTGTTGACAATTCAGCATTACACGTTCCGTTCTACGATCTAACTATTATATTCCAATCTAACTTGAGGTTCCGAAAATTGTTACATTTATTAGCTACGGAAATCCACACCCTCATACGTAATTCCGTTTCGGATTCAAGGCTTGCACACGTTCTACAACGATTCGTGGGCACTAATTTCCTATCAAACATGGGTTTACTTGACAATCATGCTGCTAGGTTCCTATTCGCTTGACGCCCTGGAAATAATTAATTGGATACATCACTGCTCGCAGAACTAATTTGATTGTCGTATGCCGCTTCCCATTACATGCTACTTTAATTGTAACGTTAGCACTGTACTTTAACAGTAACGAAATCACAACTTACTTGATACGCAATCAAAAATATGATAAATCAAGGATATCAATGTTGAGCGTTGAAAGGTTCCACGACATGAGCTAACTCAGTGAACAATATTTAATGAAGCAGCATCCTTTTTTTTTTTTTTTATTGCAGAGGTGGACGAAGGTAGACCACCCATCAAGGTCAAATTCGAAATTCCTTACTTTACAGTATCTGGCATTCAGGTAACCGTCGAACAATGTATCTAAAATTTAAGAATCATTCGAGGAATTTTTTGGGGTACAAATGTTTTAACTGTATTACCCACTTGTGTGGTGGCCTATAATTTAAAAGAACTGTTTTGCCTTTCCCTAGAGTTTCTCTTTGTCCAATAATACTTTGTGTTCTGCTCCTATAAAGCAGATTACTTGTTTCACTTTGCAGGATATTCAATATTATATCTTTTTTCTGATAATGTAGCTAGTGTTACACAGTATACAACGAATAGTTAACGCTCGAAACGTCGGTAATTGTGAAGAAGAGCTCCCCAAAAAACCTGTCGGCCGACTGTCGGTCAACTGTCGGCCGACAGGTTACCGACAGTCTACCGACAGCTAACCAACAGGTTATGGACAGGTTAAGAAAAAAGAAAAATTCGAACAGTTAACGTGTAACAATCCATAATGGTGATGTATGACGTCGACGGCTTGAAAGTCAATGCGTATTATATCACTTGCGTAATTTACAACACACCAGACAATGATGACCAACTGAAGTTATATTTCACTCACCCGTCGACGTCAATGTATTTCTTTAGAACGTTTTACTGTTCACAGTCGGCCCAACAGGTAGCCAATATTTCGGGCAAAACCTGTCGGCCGACAAACGGCCGACAGTCGGCCGACAGTTGACCGACAGTCGGCCGACAGGTTTTTTGGGGAGCTCTTCTTCACAATTACCGAGACGTCAGCGTTTCATGATTCGCTGTGTTGGTTTACGAACTTTGGTCAAATTATAGCTGATGACCAACTAGTTATTTCACATACCCGTCAACGAAATTTCTTTAGAGACTGTTCACCAAAGTCGATTTAATCTGATATTTGCGCAGTGAAATGCGAGATTTCTAATGGAAAACAATGGCGGCAAGATGTTTCATGTATGTCGTTCGAATTTCACTATTAATGTTTGTTCTTAGTAGTTTAAAACTGAAAAAGTTTGTTTAAGTTGAGTCGGTTGACAAGCAATCAAATGTTGTATATGCATGTTTAGCTGTTACGTCAACAGGTATTGATAGTATCATGTGCCAAGAACTAAAAGTTATTATTACTGGATAGGTCCGTTATCTCAAGATTATAGAAAAGAGCGGCTACCAAGCCCTTCCTTGGGTTCGTTACATCACCCAAAATGGAGGTTAGTCGACCCTTATCAACAAATTGTATGAAATAGAGGGCTTTTCGATTGAGTGTTATTAAACCAGAATCAAGGATATCACAACGGCAAATCTGAAGAAAGGAAATACCTTAACTCTCTACACCCAAGATCAGTAAAGGTATTCTCCATACTGTTCCCCATACATTCTTTAAGGTGCTGGCAAGGAGAATTTGTGTATCAATCAACAGTTTATTTTGCTGCTGATAGTTTTCTTTATTCTCATGGCCTTACTGTATGATTCAGGGGTGATATTGTAAGGAGAAATTAGATGTTGGTCACTCTTCGGGGTAAAGGGGTCACAGAGCAAATGAGACCTCAAAGTAAAAACAAACAAACCGCCAAAAGCGCGGGAAAACGCGGGCGACCAAGTCGTGATTGGATTTAGTTTTACACGTGATTGCCTTAAAGAGTGGCGTGAGTTTTCTGGACCAATCACAGAGCGAAGTAATGCAAAACAAATGCAATCCCGAATTACTTTCGACACAGTTGAGAATTGTTCTAAATGAATTGCCTTGAGAGCTGTGCTTTAGTAGAGTATTTAAAAATTTTAAGAGTGTCACAGGTTGCAATAAACAAACCTGGAACTGATGCTGAAGCTGTGCACGGAATAGTGGACGTGTGCTGCCAAGCAAAAGAGAAAAATTATGCAACTGTTGCCTAGTACTAAACATCGTGTACTCCGCAATGTGTAATTTGGAGAAACGCTCTTTACCTGAAACAAGGTGGACCTCTACGTTAAGTTTTTCCGCGGTTATGGTAGCACTTTAAACACATCAACCGTATTTCAAAGCAAACTTAGTTGCACTGAGGAGCGAAGTGATTTGACTTAGCCTTGTACTAAGAGCAGTCCATCCTTGACGTTGAAGTTCTGAGCGGTGCGCTAGCATCAATTTATTTTTTTCCTTTTTTTTTCGCTGATTTTTTTCACTCGCGCAACGGACTTCGCCGAAAAAGGGGGAAAAGGAGGGACAGCTCTTAGCTTAACGTAACCAGTGAATTCCTTATTTACTTCCGTTTCGTTGCGAAAGTTGCCAGGTTGTTTTAGGATGCAACCCACTTTAAAATTCATTTCTTTTTCTTTTGCAGATTACCAGTTGAGAACAACATGAAAAAGAGAGGCCGCACCTTCCATGTACAACATTAAATCTATCTTGTGAAGACATTTGCCGATGAGGAAAACTGAAAAAAGAGAAATATTAGATATCCCCTCCTTTGTTCTTGCTAGACAATGCACTGTCCACACAACAGCTCAAGAGTAGCGACAAACTTAGAAGCTGGAGGTTTTTATTTTGATATAACGCTAAGTTCTCACAGCCAATTTATGAGGAAAGATATAGCAGCTTAAAAGGAGAATTACGCATTAGATCGCTGAAGTTTAAGAGATGTCATACCAAAAAAGGAAAAAGAAAAAGCTAGTTTAACCTTTTCAACCCTAAGAGTGATCAGCATCGTATTTCTCCTTTCCCTTTTATTGCTGAATCATTTATTAAAATGATGAGAATTAAAGAAATGATCGCCAACCTAACAAGCTTTGATTGTGTAGCAAATTCTCCTTTTCACTACCAAAAGAAATGTAAAGACAGTGGTATGGAGAATATGGATATTGATTTTAAGGGTTAAGTTCGAGAATGAAAACTATAAAGGAGTTCGACAGAATCAAGTTGAATGCTCTTTAAGTAATAAATCATACGCTTCTTGTTGTTCAGTTAGAGATCTCATTCGGCAAAATCTTTAGTAAATAAAGTATTGGCATTTTTCGTAAACGTGATCCTGATATTGTTTCTCTCATGAGTACTCACGTTCTTTCTGTGATCTTAAAGTGGGTTTTTAAGTCGGCAAGTACACTAAAGCTACTGTAACATTTACACAGAAAACAGTCCCTATAAAGAGCGCAAATGAGCTCAGCTCCAGGTCGACGGAAGCCATTTCTTTCGAAAGGAGAATTGCTTTCCAAGAGAAAGTGAACCCCACCGTGAGCCCCACCCTCCCTTCCTCTTGGCGCGGTATTTCTATTTTCTTCGGGAATCCTGGGAGAGAGAACCCGATAGGGCAAAAGGCAAAAGACAAAAAGAAGGAAACAAATGTAATGAGAAAATGGATAAATACGGGAGGGAGTGGAATCCAAAAGAACCTTCCCTGGTCCATCCTCCATTTTTTTTTTCTTTTTGCTTCTTTTCGCCCGTTCATTTGACGCAACATTCGCTTCGGCCACTTGGCTTGGAGGAAATGGAACGCAACCGCATGTGAGACTGCGCTGCAGAGGCTCCGCGAGAACGGACTGACACCATTAACACGCGTGAACGGCCTTCGTGCGGGACTTCTCGCTCGCGCGTTTTAATCCGAATCACCCGCCCACGGTCAAACTGAGCCCCTGGAACGCAGGCTAATCTGGGAGAGCCGTTCCCACTAAGTGGTTGACTTATTGTAACCTATCGCTACAAAAATAGAAATTGATCAATTACACTTTGATTGGTCTTCAGAAGTAGTTGATCTCTTAGAAAGAGGGGTGAGTTGAGAAATACACAGAATTCTTCTTTGTTAAAAAAATTGCAGTTTATTTTGTCTTTTAACCCTTTAACTCACAGAAGTGATTAAAATATATCTTCTTCTAACAATATCCATACATTTATACAGTAAACAGGTAATGAGAATACTCAAACTAATCAGGTAGAACTCATAATCTTGATTGAACAACAAATTCTTGTTGATAATTTACAAGGAAAGGTGTAGCTGCTACAAGGGAGAATTAACAAACAGATCTTGAGAGTTAAAGGGCTAAAAGGCCTATCAGCTCTGATTACAACAAACCTACACGTATAGTAAGGCCTGATAAACAAATGAATAAATAAAACTTTACCACAACAAAATGGAAATAAACTTCATCAATCAGGCCTCCATAAAACGGAAACAAGAGACAAGTTTACGAAAGAACCAAAAAATAATTTATGAGAAAAACAAATATTTGATTACACACTTAAAAAATATTCTTGTGAAACCATTCCTAATAAAATTCAGAACACCCTATCTCAAGGTAATTTACCACAACATCTAAACTGTGAATGAAATTGCAAAGAAAACTCTCAGAGCAAGCTGATCATCTAAGTTATGAAATATTCAATTTGCACTGGCATTAACACTAGTGCTTAATATTTATCCCTAAATTCACACTACTAATAAAGCAGCAAATTATTCTTAATTTTCCCTCACAAATTTTCTTCATGTGTACAAAATGTTGTTTATATTTCCTGCCTCACTATCATTAGTCACTGACTAGAATATCTTCATCCCCAGGTCCTCTCTCTTCCCACCAGCAATAAGAGAGAAGACCCAGGAACAAGTTTGAGTGGACTTTTCACCAGCAGTTTCTATATGAAAACTGAATGATGCAATTGAAAAAACCTAAAGAGCCAAGGAAAATGGCCCTTGATTTTGTTACAGTTTTGTTGAGTGCTGCACAATGAAAACCACAGTTCTACCACAATGACTGATAATAAATATATAAGAGTAAACACCACAAAACAAAACATGCAAATATCAGTACCCTACCTCAAGCAGCTTTCAATAACTTTGGTTTTACTTTTGATGTCATGCTTCACATGACTGTATAAATTAATTCTCTGCTTCAATCATACAGCTTTGCTGAATGGAAAAATGCAATCCTGGATCCTTTTAATTCTTCCCCTAAAGATCTCATTAGTAATTCTCCTTAGTGTCAGCCATACAATTCCTGTGTTGTTAGTTCAAAGAATTTGATAGTAGATCAACTACCAATCCCCTTATTGATATTTTTCTCTATTCTCATAACTTGTCTGCTTGATATTGTATTGATATTGTAAGGAGAAATTCTAGTGTGATCACTAATAGGAGTTAAGGGTTAAGAACTCAAGTCAATGCTAGTCTAAAAACAATTCAGTGCATGAGGTGTGGGCAGGAAGTGCAGTTAGAGTCTTATTACCTTCTATCTTAAGTTTGACTGGTGGAAATGTGTGTTAGTTCTTAACAAATTACAATGCCTGTACACGGAAAAACTAACCCTGACACAGAATTATTTGCAACAGTTATTTTCAACTGAGGCAAAACTACACAATAGGAAAAAAATACAGACTATTAGCTTTCTTTTATATTACAAAAATTGTGACTTTGAAGTCATTATTTGTCAAGATGGTATGGTGCCATTTTGACTCTGTAGCCGGGCAACATGGACATAAATCTTTAATGCAGGACCTAACTTGATTGACATACCAGTCAACACATCATTCCTTGACATCAGAAGCAGTGCTTTTCCATCAATTTCCTGCAAAAGAGAGGAGAAGTTTTAACCCTTTAACCTCTAAGAGTGATGAGCATCTAATTTCCCTAAAGAGTTTCACCACCAAATCTCTTGACTATCCATACAATTCAGCCCAATCCCTGCAAGTCCAGATTACAGAGGTTCAACTGTGCAAGTTAAATACTGAGTGCAGTCACCTGATTTTGAAAGGACTTTGCCTCTTCTGGAAATCCTAAAGAGCTGAAAAATGACACAACCTCTGTAACAGTCCAAAGTGACGTGTCTGGTGGTAAATTGCTTTTGCTTTTTTCTGTATCTTTAGCTGAATCATGAGCTCCACCTGCTCCTTTGATAGGAGTATCTGTCAAAGTCAAGAGGAAAAACACTCAATTGCATAGTAAACATACAATCAAAGGATTATCGGAGCAACCTCATGGTTTTTCTTTATTGTTCAAGTGTCATGAGTAACCCTCCTTGTTTCCAGTATGACACAAATGTATCCAAAAATCTCAAAAGCTATGCAATGCCTACTGTTAAATATCAAAGCCCACCAAAAGAGGTCAACCACGTGTTACCATGGGAAAATGAGCCAGTTGCTCATGACAACAACATGATTTAACATCAAGACCAAAACTTCTATTGCACTTCATGCAACTGAAATCATGGCAAAATTTTCAAAGCATTAGCTTATATACGACCGAATGAGGGGGAAGGGGAAAGTAATACCCCTTAGTTATTTTGTGCAACTTGAAAACTGGGATAAGCTCTGGCTGTGTGCTATGCACAAATACAGACTTAACCTTTCTACCTCAGTTTAAAGTCCATCATGTAAATCACTTACTGGGCAAACCATTAACAATGCCCTTTGTTCCTGGATTTGCAGACGTATGAACTCCATTGGATTGACTGTGACCTGTCTGCAAATCACCATTTGATCCTCTTGGAGGTACCAATGAGTTTGTTTTGTTGTCACTTGAAGCTTCAGATTGGCTCAGCATTTCAAGTTCTCTCTGAACATTTTCAGCATCAACTATCAGAGGAAAAGTTAATAAGTCAACAATCAGTGCAAGTGATCAACATGTAACTTCTCCCTGGGATATCCATACATTATCCAGCAAACAGGCAATGAGAATACTCAAATTTATCAGGTAGAAGTTGTTATCTTGATCTTACAACAAAACCTTGTAACTAATTTACAAGGAAAGGGGAAGGGAAGAATTAACAGTCAGACCTTGGGAGTTAAAGGGTTAACTTTCAGACACAACAACATTTCCAGTGTACCTTAACATTATCCACTTTGATTTTCCTCACCTTGGATATGAATATCTTTCACTTCAACAGTACATTCCCCCATTTCTTCATCACACTGAAGTGGTATGTCATCACCCATCACGTTGTTGCCAGCTTCTGACTTTGAAATTGCTTCATGAGTCACAAAATCACTGGATTCGGAAAGACGTACTGGATTTATTGGATGATTCTGGCAATTATAACAAACCCATTTTCCTGTTGAAAGGAAACCAGAAATAAAATGATGGCAATGTGGAATGGTAAGCATAATGAAACATCACTAATATTTCTTTCAAAAATTGTTTATTTTCAAAATCAGATTTTTCCATTTCTGCTGTAGCTTTATTTTTTTTTTCTTGTTGTATAGAAGTTGGCAAAATGATTCTAAATTAGATTAATGTTTTCCTCTTTTGTGTAAGGATTATCATAATTATAGTGATATGACTGGATTGAAGACAAAAAAATCAAAATAGGTTTTTTAATATCATGTTCTCTTAGATTCATTTTAGAGAACAAATTTAAAAAGCTTCTCTACATTGTTTCAAACTTCTCTTTCTTTCTTATCACTTTTATTGTGCATTTTGGAGCAATTATTGGTACTCACTATTAGATTTCTAAATTAATGCAAAATCATATGGTGAAAATCTTACCAATAGGCATAGTTTCAAGTGGAGGGACATGACATTGCATGTGATAACCCTTGTCACAGGCATCACAGAATAATAAACTACCCTGAAAAAAATAATACAAAAGAATAAGTGACACTTTAATGAGGAATTCAAAGATTGGTCCTGCACAAGAGCTGGGTAGGCCATGCAACCACAGCTTAAAGCACTCTCCATCTCTTAGAAGGCATGCTAATCCACACCAGGTTTTTCCATGCACTTCCCTGTGTGTTCCTAGGAGCTTGCCTGAACTTCCTCACATTTCCTAAATGGTTTGGCAGAAGTTACTCACAGGAGTACTCCTCTGAGTGAAGAGGCATGTTTGGGGTAAATTTTATCACCAGGCAACAAAACTTTTTGATTCAGAATCCACAGTCTATACATATGTATGTACACCATAATTCAAGAAAATTATGGTGTTTTCCTTTGGAGTTTTGCACCGTTGGTGTATTCAGCATACCAAATGTGAAAGTTACCATGTTCTTCTGAACTTTTCCAGTAGCCAGGCAGGTAAAATTTATCTCAGTTACAGACAAATGTATTACTGCTTTGTCTAATTATAGTAGCTGGTGTTTCAAAAATAAGTGGTCAGAAAAATTGGTGCCTGCCAATGCTCCTGGAAAATACTGGGGTTAACATCCCACATTTTTCATAAGAATGACACAGCTACATCAAATACAATGTTCCACTTTACACAACCTCACTGTATAACAATGAAGACTCACGGGATCTCCACTGTCGTTACATATAATACAAGCTTTACAGTCGATGCACTGCCATGCACTGGCATCTGAGGTAATTCTAAGAACTAATTCAGGTGTGTAGTTCATACAACTTGGATGGGCTGCAAAAAAAAAATTCCAAATTAGTGACAAGAAATTCCTTGAAATTATCCACAGGTGAAACTATTCACTAACTTAACCCTTTCACTCCCAAGATCTAATTAGTAATTCTCCTTACTATCTACCATACTATTCTTATGATGTTAGTTCAGAGACTATAATCCCATGATTGATATTCTATTCTCATCACCTGCCTGCTTGATATTGTATTGATATTGTAAGGAGAAATTCTATCTTGGTCACTTATGGGAGTGAAAGGGTTAAGGGAACAATTAAGTTTTTCTGAAGATAACAGCGTTAAGCCTTACCTTGGCTCAAACCAAGATTTTTTTCATCTAAGTCCAAAAATTTAGATGTAAGAACAGTCAAATCTGTTTTAAGCAGTCACCCACAGGGATTTCAGTATAGATTGACCACTTGCATGTAATGCAGGTTTCAAAATTGGGTTAACAAAACAAAATGATAAAAAAAAACCACCATTTTATGCCACAATTAACCACTAATTGTACAAAAACTCCCTCTAAAATTCTACTAACATTGATTTCAGGCGAGAAATATGGATCAAATTCTACTTGAAAGGTTATTCTTAGTTTTATTTGAGGATTTTTGCTTTAAGGAACCACTCAATTCTGGTAAAAGAAAGTTCAAACGGGCCATTAGGACTCCCTCTGAGGTAACCAACAGTGTTTAACCCTTTAACTTCCAGAGGTGATTAACATAAAACTTCTCCTACAATATCCATACATTTTTCAGCAAACAGGTAATGAGAATATTCAAACTTATTAGGTAGAAGCTGCTATCTTGATCTAACACCATTTTCTCATAACTAATTTACAAGGAAATGGGTAGCAGCTAGAGGGGAGATCTAACAATCAGATCTTGGGAGTTAAATGGTCAATAGAGGTAACTGCTTCAAAGAGGTGAAAATTACTGCGATTAAGGGAAAGCAACTGACAGCTAAATACAGGTTAGACTGTATTACAATGATAAAGAAATCTCCAACTATCACAAATAAAAAGTTTTGTACATCTGTCTTGACAGTTTCATCCAAAAGAGTGACCACCATCTAATCTCTCTTCACAACAACAACAACTCTGAATCAAACATTAACATCACATAAAAAAAACTGATCATGAACTTAAGAAGTTCTTGATTGTTAACCAAATTCTCCTTGTCCGCACTTAAAAAAATGTATCAAGAACAGTATGGAAAATGTGCATACTGATGTAGGGGTAAAAGAGTTTATCCCCAATTACCTTTGTTGCCACAGTCCCTACAAATCAGTAAAGCTTCTGGCTCTCCTTTCCTATTTGCTGCTGCAGATTGTAGACAGAAATCACAAACTTGGTCACATGCTGGAATTTCTCTTTCAGGACTCTGAAAATCACAAAGAGAAGAAAAACAAAATTAAGATTAAAGTGCATCCTATGCCCTTAACCCTTTAACCCCAAAGAGTGACGAGCATCTAATTTCTCCTTACAACATCAACCCTGAATCACACATAAAGGTCATGAGAACAAAGAGGTTTAACCCCAACTTTTGATTGTTCTATTAACTCTTTAACTCCCAAAAGTGATCAACCTGTAACTTCTCTCTCTAATATCCACACATTAGCCAGCAAACAGGTGATGAAAATAATCAAATTTGTCAGGTAGAAGTTGTTATCTTGGTCTGACATCAAATTCTTGAAACTAACTTGCAGGGAAATGTGTATTAGCCAGAGGGGAGAATTAACAGTCAGATCTTGGGAGTTAAAGGGTTAGCAAATTCTCCTTATCAGCACTTTTGGAAATGTGTAGAGAGCAGTGCTTTCCGTCATACATTTCTCATATTGTAACTGATTTACAAGGAAATGTTTACCAGCTGGAAAGGGGAATTAACAATCAAATCTTGGGAGTTAAAAACCAAGCCTTGGCCCCACCTCCTTTAAATTGCCAAGAATGAAGATCAATTTGATTTTTGAAATATCACCACAAAACAAAAGTAATAGTCAAAGGATTGAACAGTATCATCTGTTATTTTACCTAATATCAGTAAATTGATGATTATCATTTCTTTAAAAGAAATAACATTAATTTAGTTGTTTTCGCCTTCGATTCCTATCACACACGTTTACGCTAGCATAAAAGTTGTCTTTGTTATTTGTCTCCTACGTCTAGAAGGGTTAACTTTTGCTTTAAAATTTGACCAAAAAGTAAAAAAAGTAAAAAGCAAAGGATGATTATAATTGATGCGTGACGCGGAAATACTTGTCTACTTTACGAACGACTGTAAATGGCAAACAAACTCCGTGTAAGTATTAAGGACACGCGTAACGACTCTGCCTTGTAATACGGATTGCGAAGAGAAATCAGAAATGCCACATACACTAAGTAAGAGGAGTAAATTAGAATTGAGCAATGACTATGTTTCAAGAGAATGTCGAGTCTTATGCAAACGTGTTACACATGATGTATCGATTCTCCGCTGTTGTAGATGCACGCCTGATCTAATGATATTTCAACCGCGAATATTGCCCCTAGTTAACATCTGGCGACTTACCTCAGCTGATTCGAGTAAGCGATACATGCCCTCGCTTATCGACCAGATTCTTCCATGATCTAAGTCTTCCTTTAGTGCGATCTTGATCCTTGCCTTCAAATTATGGTAATAAGGATGCCGAGCGGTGATGAATTTCTCAATATCTACTGCGCTGACGCCGTAACCACGATCTAGCGCTCGAATTGCTTCGCTTACCCATCGGGCGGCTCTCGAAACTTTGCCGGAACCTATTACTCTGTGCCAGCCAGATGCATTTCGATAAGAAATTGCCCCTTTAAAAGACCTCTTTGTCACTATGCCACTGGCGACGAGCGCTGCTAAATCTTCTTCGGTATCTCTCTGATCAATTCCGTGACACTTGTGCATCGTCCGGCAAATTCGCTCCAAGTCGGGCCTGGATTTCCGACTGCGAAGCAAGTTGATGCATTCCAGAATCCAGTTCATATACTTCGGACGTTTTTCGGCCATATTAGGAACGGTGGGTTGGGATAGGACAGCAGGTGGAAGATTATTTTGGTTGCAGCGGACCGGAGGAGGTTTCGTTCTGCTAGAGAAACGACGAAAGCCCTTCTCGTTTACATACCGTAAGTGAAATGGTAATTTTCACGCAAAAACAAACCAAGCGCGCCGCCGCTATAACAAGCGCCCGCGATCTTGGCGTTGATTGGGATACCCAACAAAACAAATGCGTTGACAGAATTTGTAATGGCGGCTCGCAGACTGGTAATGCGTACTTGCGATTTGCTTTTCTAGCTCTTTCCATCAACTTTCAAGCTTCCCAAAGCCTTCTACTTCATGGTTATGGATGCCAAACGGAGGGAGTGATTGGTTCCGTTGTGTCTCCTCGAAGATAATGTTAACAAATTTCGATAGATGTCAACATTGTTTTGAACGATGAATTATGCATATTCGGGCTAAAGTTTACCCCCGAACAGGAAATAGAGAATTTTCTATTTTTGAAAGAATGGATTTGATAAATGAATTAAAGTAATAGACTCATTGGGAAATGGAAAATTCTGACATTGCTCCAGAGTCGTCCGGAGAGAATCCAAATAGAACCTCTAACGGGAGACATCCAGAATTGCATCAGAAAGAAGAATCGCCAGTTGGTTCCCAAACTGAAGCGACAAGGGAACAAGAGATAACAAATATTCCCCACAAGAACAGATCTAAGAAGGAAAAAAAGGAGGTGAGATTTTACTTATCCCTTTAACCCTTAAGAGTGAGTTGCATCTAAGTTTTCCAAGCAGTATCACCCCTGAATCGCACATGAAGGTCACGGTAATAACGGAAATGTTCATCAACTTAAGAAGCTCTTGATTGTTAATAAAATTCTCTTTGTCAAGACTTTGGAAAATGTATAGAATTTATTGAGGAGAATATTCCTACTGATGTTTAGTAAGGGTGTAAGGGGTAATCATTCAATTTATACCCACTGTTTTAATGCATGAAGATATCAAGTTTAATGATATGTAACTTGTAAGGGTTAAATAATACATTAAGAGAATTCTCAATTCTTGATGGTTATCAAAAGTTCCATCTAAATATCACCTTGAAATATATGAGATATGTGTAATTCACCAGCCAGGAGGTCTGTATTAGGGAAAACTGTGCCTGAGGCCTTGAAATTGAACTTTTAAAATGTCACTTAAGAAATTGAACTCTACAATGTTGAGATACAGTACTGCTTATGTATACGTTAACTGAAAAACGCAAATTAAGCGTGCCAAAAATTGCATGCAATTGCGTCCGATCTTAAAACATCTGCCTCATTAGTATGTATGAGGTAGTCCTTTTGTTTTTCTATTGTTGGCAGTTTATTGTTTTAAAGAATAGGCCTCAATGTAGTAGCATTAAAATAGTACACAGCTACGAACAACAGGCACTTGTTTATTGCAATCGCCATTCAAACCAACCTTCCCAATTTGCTGTTACCAATGCAACTTCATAATCAAAATACATAAATGATTTATCATTTTCCTACAGAATTCATTTATCAAAATAGCTATTTCTCACTTCATATATAGAAACATCTGTCGCAACGACTTAGGAATTTGTTCAAAATAAATTTAGTCTCAGTGTAATATATTGGCTGACCTAACTTCTAGTATAAGGCTAAAACAAATTTCCAACCAGTTTTTCAGGCAAGTAAATTTCTCATTCGTTACAATTCTTTCTTGCATTTCAATTTGACCCTGCAAGGAGAGCTGGGATTTTAGAGGTTTCTCTGACATTTTTGTGTATAAAGTGACTCATGTAGAGGTTTGTTTGCATGTCTTTATATGTGATAATGATTGTTGTCTTGCAGGAGAGTGGAACATCAAATGAAAATCAAAGAAGTCCAGAGGATTTGCTAAAGATAATAAAAGAACTGGAGTCTAAACATTTTGTTGTGCAACATGATAAAATGAAGGTGTGTAGCAATTATTGGGTTTGATATGATATAGAAGGAAGTCTATCATATTGTACAGTACCAACTTAAGCTGTACTGGAAAAGACCTTTAGTTCTTCCATGGGTCAGTTTATTTTCCTGTGTCATACTATTGAGAAAGGAAAGTGTGTCAGTGAATTTCTTGAACTGATTCCCCTTGTGTCACTAATCCTTGTTATGCTTTGTGACTCCCTAAGACTTCTCTCAACTTAAGCCTTGTTGCCAGATGCAGTATATAGTCAAATCCAGATAACTCAAACCTTCAAGGGAAATTAAAAGAGGTTTGATTTATCGAGAGTTTGAACTACTGGGAGTTGGAAAAAAAAAGTACTGGAAATTAGAGGGAAAAGGTGTTTCTGTGTATTTTTCTATTCAGTCAGGTCACATTTTATTGAAATATAATTATTAAGAAGTTAAACAAGAATGGAATAATAAATTATTGCAGAAATGGCAAAGTAATGTAAATGTTTTGGACTGCAGTGAACTGTTTGTTTTGATTTGTCACATGTTGACAGACATGGTTTGAGTTATGGACATTTAAGTGTATAGAGAATGACTTGAAGGGACAAAAGAAAAAATCTTGGAGTTAGAGAGAGGTTTGAGTTATCAGGGGGTTAAGTTATGGAGATTCAACTGTGTTTAGCTGGTTGATGCATGTTTTAGATGTTACATTAAGGCTCATTGATGGGAGATGGCATATTTATATAGTATTCAAATGTATTTAAAATAATGTATGATAATCAGCATGCAAGGTCTTAGAGAAAAAGAATTTTTTAAAGTTGTTGCCAAAAATAAGTGTGTTTGAGGTAAAAGCAAACTAGGATTCTCTTGAATACAATCAAACTAAGATTACAATGAGGATTAAATACTAAGGCTGAAATAAAAATTGAACAAGTTTGAAAACATTTGAACCACACCAGTGAAAGTGAACTGTTCAAGAAAAATATATCTTTTTTTTGTTCCTACTCGACACATTTTAGCAACCAAATAAGGATGCAGAAGGTCCCTTTTACTGTGAGCTTTGTGAACTAAAATTGGCAGATTTGAAAAGATGTCAAGAACATGTGAGAACCAAGGGTCACAGGAGAGCAAACAGGGTGAGGAACATTTCTTCTCTGACCAGATACATATACACAGTTGGTTGAGTATATTATTATGAATCAAACCTGTTTAAGATGACAAGATCTGATTGTAAAATCTGAAGTTTTTAGGTTTGAATCCTGTCTAAGACAGTCCTCAACACACCACAGAAGGAGCATTTGAACTTCTCTCCACTTTATGAGAAAGCTCAGAATTTGCCATCTTTTTTCCTCCATTCCTTTTCAGGACAGTTTCCATGTCACTGATTTTTGAAGTATACAGGTCATATAAACTAGATACTTGTACCTCATTAGCTACATGACTGTGCAGCTTAGTGTCAGTAAAGTGGTCAATCAAGAAAAGCCAGTAACTTGAAGTCTACTTCCACTTGTAAGACTTCTCACCATTAGCTGTTTAGCCTATTTCCCTCAAAAAACAGCCTCCCATTTTTTCAGAGTTTCAAGTTTTGACTGGAGATTAATTTGTTCCATACTCACACCAAACATTGGACATCTTCCTTGACCACTGAAATTTTAAACACGTTTGTTTTTGCTCATAGACCAAAGGAGAGTCTTTGTCGCTCACACGGATTACCCCACCTTCCAAAAATCAAACCTTAGCTCTGAGCAAGCTTCTTGACTCTGTTTTCTTGGATCATGGATTATCCCCTGAAAAAGATCTACCTTTGAGGGGCAAGGTAGCAAAAGATGTCCATAAGGTTGTGTGCACCAAGTTTCCAGGTAATGTTGATGTTGATCATAACTTTGTTACACTGTTTGTTTCTTTTTGTTAACTTTATTCACGACCTTTCAAAGTTTTGCTAGAACAAGTTTCTCAGCAACTTTTGTGGCATCCAAACAGCCTACAAATTTTAAAGGGGGTAAGTTTCTAAAGAAACTGTGGTGCTGTATCAGTGGGAGAGTATAACAGGGTAATTATGTGTAATCAACTGAGTTGCTATTGTAAATTGGCCACCATAAAGAGTTTTAAAACTGAGTGATAGCCCTTCATCAGAGTGAATGAAAAAGGGCTAACACGCAAAACGTTAGCTTTAAAACTTAAAAAAATCAACTGAGTTGATAATACTAAATTTTTACTCTGCATAGGCAGGTATGTGAAGCCATGTTAAAGATTGTGCATTGTTTAATGGCTGGGAAAAGCTTTCAGAGTATTGTTGTGCATGTGCGTCTTTCATTATTTCATTATCTTTACAGAGTAGGTTAGAGTAGTTTTGGCTCTGGATCAGCAGAGGTGTTGATCCCTTACATTTTTATTAAATTTTTGATGTTAAAATTTACCATATTTTGAACTCTTTTTTTAATAGAATGTGCAGTGTTCCTTTATGGATCTTCCTCCACTGGATTTGGTCTGAAGGACAGTGATGTTAACCTTGATCTTGTCATTCCAGATGAGGTAGCATTAGTTGCTCATGGTTATGCATAAGAGGTGGCAGTGACCAAACTTTTCCAATTACTTTGTAAGGTTTTATCAGCTACAATGTTTTTCACTCAAAATCAAGATGTATGAAGACATTTCATATGATAAGCTGAGTTATACACCTGTTTCTGTGGGTCTATACAGTAATAGATCTCAGAAGCTGTCAGGCTGAGTCTCATGTGCCGCTCTTTTCCTTGTACCACATTTCAAATGATGTAATTTGTGATCTACTAGGGAACAGATGCACAGCAACAGGAATCTATTTGTAAAATAAAACACAATGAATGTAAAAGTTAATCCATGCACATTACCTCATCTCATTGTCATCAGCATTTGCTGGGGTCTGGAATTGAACAATGAACACTCTGCCTCTCAAGATACAACAATTACCAAATCTATCTTCTGACTCAAATATTTCTATATAGATAAGTGGTGTTTCATCAAGGTGACACCCTTTAGCTGATAAACCTGTCAGTTCTCACTATCTCATTACTGAATAATGTATTGAAATTGTAAGGAGAATTTACAGTTGAAATCAATACTGGGAGCTACTAACTCTACCTGGGTAAAAGAAAGCCCTTATTGCTACATGCACATAATATTCCTCTTGACTGTAAGTTTCAGGAAAAAAGCAGTGATGAATCAATCACATCTGAAGTGTTCTTTGTAGCTATGATATTACTGATAATATTATAATTATTTTATTTTATTTATACAGCTCAATGTGCCTCATGTTCTCCTGTCAATTTTGGAGCTACTTCAAAAAGATGGTGAGGCAAAATGCTTTTCTTATTTGGTTTGTTGTTTTTTTTGTTTGTTTGTTTGTTTTCAACCAAGCTGCAATAAGTGCTTACTTGCTACAGTGTAGGTCAGATCATGTATAAGACATCAGCATGAAAATAGATTGGGCAAAATATTTTATCAATGCAATTGGAGACCTTGTGATGTTGAGACAAAAACCTTTGGAAACAGGTATCTGCTCAGATCATGTGATTTGACTTGTAACCTTTTGCCTTGAAAATGAAAATTGTGGTGTGGAGAAAGGCTGGAAATAGTACTTAGCTGTGTGCCTAACAACTTATGCAAACTTTGCAATACTAGGTAAAATGCATCTCTGAAGCACTTTTCAACTACTGTAAGAAAAAAAAACACACACACACATAAGGAAATAGAATGAGCACCTTACTTGAATGTAGCTCTGTCAGAAATAACCTTTTATACAAACTTCAGATAAGTGTTTAACCCTTTAATTCCTGGAAGTGATTAACATGTAACTTCTCACTCTGATGTCGATATGTTTTCTAGCAAATAGTTATTGATAAAACTCAAACTTATCAGGAAGAAGTTTTTATCTTGACCTTACACCAAATTCTCATAACTAATTTACAAGGAATTGTGTCACAGCAAGAGGAGAGAATTAACAATCAGATCTTGCGAGTTAAAGGATTTGATTAAGTCTCAAAATTTATCACAGAATGCTTGAAACATTAGCTTTGAAACTCTTTATGGTGGCCAATTTATGTTAACAACGCAGTTGATAATGCCAAATTACCTTATTATACTCTCCCACTGACTCAGCAGCACAGTTTCTTTAGAAACTTTCCCCCTTTATTGAGATGCAAAACTGAACCCATTCATGACATGTTCACCGGTGTTTTCCCGTACTTCAGACAGTTGGCTTGTTTTTACCTTGTTTAGTTCTCATTGGCTCTTAGGGGTATTTTTATTTCTTCTGATCTGCTGGTGCGATTACTTTCATAGGTTTTGGTTTTCTGATACTCAATGGAAAAGCATCCTGTCTCTGCGCTAACCACAAATTGTTATTAACCCTTTACACCCTAACATCAGTATTCAAACTCTCCTTACTATGCTCTATACATTTCCTAAGGTGCTGATGAGGAGAATTAATTTTTTCTTTGACAATCAAGAGCTTCTTTGGATGGTGATCATTTCCTTCATTCTCATAACATAAATGTGTGATTCAGGGATGATATTGCAAGGAGAAATTAGGTGCTAATCACTCTTAGGAGTTGAAGAGTAAATAGTAACCTTTTTACCTCTATTTTAGACAAGTACTGCGATGTAAAAAGTGAATTTGATGCAAAGGTACCCAGGATATTATTCAAACATCTTTCAAGGTATTAACATCTAAACTTCATTCTATAATGACAATTATTATTTAGCTGGTAGTGCCTGTGTTAAATATGAGGCAAATCCTGCCTTCAGACTGGCTACCTGAGTGGGTAAGATGGGCCTATCTTGCCCTCTTGGGATTGCCTGCTTTGTTCCTGTGCTTGAAAAAAAGCTGCGTGGTGCGGACTTCCATACCAGTAGTTTGTAATTTTTGGTTAGTTTGAGCAATGGAGCTGCAAAAAGGGGCAGAAGATAGTCAGAACAAAGAAAAAGTGAATGATTGTCATGAGGTTATTATACTACGAAAACCAAAAAATACAAAACTGAAGAACAAAATGAAAATAAGCAAGTCATTCTTGATTCTTATTAAAGTGGAACCTCACTCTTTTTTTTTGTTTTTTTGGTTCTTTTGGACCTGGACTTAATCCTGGTGCATAAAAATGCAAAAACTGGACTTGGCCAGTATCCAGCCATCTTGATCTCATGCTTGGTGAATAACGTGTATTTCATTCACATCTTTGTTGCTTTCTGAACTTCTTATACATATTTTATTTACCTTGTGTAAATGTATGTGTACAGTGTTAAAAGTATTTCTGATTTTTTGATTTTATTAAAATACTAAGTCTATCTTGATACCACTAGTGTTTCAGACATGAAGATCTTTTTGTTTGAGAATTTGATTTTTTTGTTTGAAAATTTCTTCTGCCACTACGCATTTTGATTGACAAGTTAATGATGAAAATGTTTGTTTCAGTGGACTTCTTTGTGAACTCAGCCCTGGAAATATAACTGTGAGTATTATACAAGTACATGTAAAGTATGTATTCCTGCCTAGTGCTTCTATAATGCATGATGGCATATTCTGATTTCTCTAAAAATACACTTTGTAGTGTAAAAATATATTATCAACAGGAGTTCTGTTGTTGTTGTTGTTCACTTGACAATAGGAGCTTTCCATGTGCAGGAGACACTTCTTATTTTTTTTCTGCATCTTGTAAATTCACTCCAAATTTCGTAAGTTTTCCAGTTGTATTCCATGTCATAACCCTCCTCGTCATTCTTGTCATGGTCATTTTTTTATTTCCTCTCACCTCTTTCCCACTTATTCACCAAACTCTTACTTAATGGCTTCCTTAGATTTAAAAGCAAATCTCTGTGGCTGATGCTGAAAGTCACTGAAACAACCCACAAATAATTTATTTTATTCAGAACTGCTTGATATCACACATTTCCATGTTGAAAGCGTAAGAAAGTAATATAGTTACAGAAGATTTCAAATAAGCTGCAACATGTTGAAGTTTACTTTGTAAGAAAAGGAAACCTGTCAGGAATCTGAAAGAGACTGGACAAAAAAAATAACTATTCTTAGCCAGGTTAACCCTTTAACTCCCATGAGTGACCAAGAGAGAATTTCTCCATACAGTATCAATACAATATCAACCAGATAAGTGATGAGAACAAAGGAAAATATCAATTTGGGGATAATTAGTTGATCCAATAATAAATTCTCTGAACTAACATTATAAGAATTGTATGGTTGACAGTAAGGAGAATTACAAATTTGATCTGGGAGTTAAAGGGTTAATTATTACAGATTTAAGTATTTTTCATAGTTTCCACTGTTTTTTTTTTTACTACTCAGAGATGATCAGTTTAATTAGACATGCAATTAATCTATGAGTAACTGATCATTTTCTGAAGGCTTTCAAGACTAGCTGCTTGTTAAAGAAGTATTGTGATGCTGATCCTCGCGTCAACAAGTTGGTTGTGGGCCTGCGTTACTGGGCAAGGGTAAGTTTACTTGGTGTCTCCTTTCCACTAATTTGGCTTTACTCTTTAATTCCAAATTTCAATATTGGTTCACTGTGAGTTTAGTTACCTAGCTGAAGTACTCAGGTTTGTTTATTTGTTTTTTTTCTTTTTCTTGTGTTAGATTTGCAGCATTGATTGTCAATCAGAGGGTGGTTTACCTGGTTACTCTTTTGCTCTGATGGTCATTCAGTTCCTTCAAGTGGCAAAGCCTCCAGTTCTTCCCAGATGGGTACCACATGAGGTGAGTCTTTTTTTGTAATAGTTTAAAATGATTCAACAGGGTAATTTGGTATTGTCAACAGAGTTGATAATGTAAATTTGGCCACCACAAAGAGTTTAAAAGCTGATAATTTGAAAGTTAACCCTTGATTAGAGCTAACTGGCAAACGCTAAATAGCTAAAAGGCTAGTGCTCAAAATGTCAGCTTTTTAACTCTTTACGGTGGCTAATTTATGTTATCAACTCAGTTGATAAAACCAAATAACCCTGTTATACATGTGCTCTCCCTCTGACGCAGCACCACAGTTTCTTTTGAAACTTCCCCCCTTTATAAAATAATTCAAGGCTAAGTGATCCAAGGCTAAATTGAATCCAAACTAGTATGAATAATGTAATTGTCTGTGTAAGGATGATGTGAGTGTGCTTGGAACAAACAAGAAAATAATCAAACATAAAAGATGACAGAAAATTTGGTCCTTGTATGTTAGGCAACTATAACCCTTTAACTCTCATTTGTGACCAAGTGAGAATTTCTCCTTACAATGTCAATATAATATCAAGCAGACAAGTGATGAGAGTAAAGAAAAACATCAGTTAGGGGAGTTGATCCAATAACAAATTCTCCAAACTAGCATTTGAGCATTGTATAGCAGACAGGAAGGAGAATTACTAATGAGATCTTGAGAGTGAAAGGAATCAAGGGAACCCACTTGATTGTGTTTCCTCATGCTGCTTACAGTTTAGCAACCAAAGTTCTGAACAGATGCATTTCTATAGTTACATTATCTTCTGTGTATCTTCGTAAATCTCTAAGTAATAATGGATGTTACTGAAAACTAGGGATTTTCTTTTTTCAGGCAATTGACAAAGACAACCCAAAAGCTACTGAAAATTTTGCTAGTGAGAATAAAGAACAGATTGGAACATTGTGGTATCAGCTTTTTAAGTAAGAGTGGAATTAAAAAACCTTTTTTTATTTTTTATTTTTTTAAACTGTATTATTTTGTTTCCAATTATATAGCTTTTATTATCAAAGATTGTGCATTTTGGACCTAGCCAAAACTAGCACTAAAAGAAAAAGCTAGCTGTAGAAGTACTACTCATAAGTAGACCCTTATTTCCAGTTTCTTTTAAAAATGAACTCTCTGCCAAGGAAATGAAAGAAAAGAATTTGTCAAACTGGCTTCTTGCCTGTCGCAATTAGAGTGAGGGTTGGTCTCAAGCCTAGTGCCACCTACACAGACAGAGCTTGTCCTAGTTACCACCCCCCCCCCCAGCTTTTTACCCGTTTCTTATGACAGTTTGCTGGTGGGGGAGGGGGGGACACTACGAGAGTGGAGAGCCTTCCCCAAGAACACAACACAGTGACTTCGCTAGGAATTGATTCCAGACTCCTCATCCTTCCGTCTGGTGCCCAATGACAGTCCAGATATCTTTTCAGGATTCTCGACAGTCAGCTTCCAGAGATGATGTTCAAAGTGGGCTTATTTTCATTCTCAGGTTTTACTGTATTGATTTCGACCCTCCAAATCTGGTGATTTCCATCAAAGATCCAATGCCTGTTAAAAGAGAAGATAGAAGGTGGGGTCATCGTCGACTAGCAATGGAAGGTATGCGTAACATTTTCAGATAGCACTGCTCTTCTATACTGGTGCCAAACAGAAAGTCTCCATACAACATGTATGTACGCTGAGGACGAATTTGCCGTGGTCATTTTCTTTTATGCTTTTTTCTTAAATCCTTGCGGAAAAACTTTGTGCGTAATTTACAGTACAGACCTTGAAGTCAGTTAGTAAGAAGTATGAGGTAATCTTTAATGTGTTCTGCGTTTAATTTATAGATCCTTTTTCTACCAAGCGAAACGTTGCTTCCTCATTAAGTAGCGACAAAGGTACGACCTTTTCAATCCTTATTTAGCTTTATCTGCCGTTTTCCTTTTTTTGTTTGTTTGTTTGGTTTTTTTTGGCTGACTTGTTATTGGTTAATTGTAGATGTGGTAAGTTACTTATTCAAGAACGGGAAAACTCACTCTGAAGCAACTTTAAATACTCTATGTTTAATAATTAATGCTTAATGTATTTTGGTTTAATTACCGCGGTGATTATAGAAGTGCGCGCGCTCTGATTGGTCGGAGATTACGTCATATCTCGATCTAATCACCTTGCGCTGTAGCAGGAGCGCTAAATTCTAAAATGGCCGCCACGCGCTTTGTCAGTGTTACTGTGGAACTGATGAACACGATAAAGAATATTCAATTCCGAAGAGCTCGTAAGTTTGGCGTAACACTTTTCAAAAGAAAGATATGAAGTTTTGCTGATTGAATTGAAGAAGCTGTTAAATCCTAGTGGAAACTGGCTCTTTATCTCGATACGAGTAATCAAAACAATTGAAACAGAATAGTTTCAGCAGCAAAACGAATATTTCCATCAGAATTCGAAATCACCATAGCAATTATACTAAAACAATCATTCGCGTCAAGCTCAGCGAATAATATTCAACAATATTCACTTCACCCTCGCCGAATAACTGCTAATTATTGCGTTTTTTTTATTGTGATAATGATGATAAACCACAACCTAGTTTACGATATAATGATGATAATGATCATCAACATTATTAGATTCTTTATTATGATTTATAGTATTATCATCTTTATTATTATTACTATTATTAGGATTACATTAACTACATAGCTGTTTCCCTTTACCTCTAGCATACGACCACTTCTTTACGTGCTGGAAGAACAGCTTTAAGTATTTTGCATCCTCGTCACAAAGTGGTAAGCAATAATTATAACCTTTCCGGGAAATCAGCTCATATAATCCTGTTTCTTTGTCTAATTTTACATCTACGGTACAGCAGTTTCATTAAAAGCCAGTTACCAGCGATCAACCGATGCCTATAAGATCTCTTACCGCCGTCTATTTATGGTGCGAGCGAGCTGTCCACCTAACGGCACATCCGCCCATTACATTATCGAAAGCCACTTATGGAAAAAGTTATTGGAACACCTGACTACTAACCTTTTTTAAACTGTACTTCTATGCTGCCCAGCCAGAATGAATAAAAGCAAAACCGTTTTAACTATTTTCGTAACATTTTGAAGAGAACGACTGGGGAGAGATCTGAAATCTAAAACAGAACTTGATGTTTGATGGAAGGAGAGGTTTAACCAGATGGGGGATATTGTAATGAGTAAAGTTATTGTCATAATCAAAGGGAATTTCCATCAGGTTGGAGGGGTTTTAAAAGACTGCTCAGTTCAATGGCGAGTTGAATGTCCTATTGTTAAAAATTTCTGTGAAAGAAAAGAAAGAAATTCAAGTAGACTAGAAATATTCAAATAATTGTTGAAAGAAAAGAACAATTATGAAAAAGACAATGGAAAAGTCTGTCCTCAAAATAGCTGAATTGTCAACAGTTTTGTAAAATCACACTGCTTTTAAATGAGTATCTGTTTTTTTATCCTCATGTTTTTCTTGCCTTACTTACTTGTCTGTTTATTTATTTTCCCATTTTTCTTCAATTTACCTCTTACCTCTTTTTTTTTATAAGTAAGGAATATGATAACTAGTGCTGTTATGTTTTATGAACCTGTGTGTCGTACTTAATTGGAATAAATAATGAGATAATTAATGAGAACACATAAAAATACGACTGCTTTGAGTATGTAAATTTATATAGAACTTGAATGCGGTAGTACTAACCTGGCAGGTCTGTTATTGTTTATTTTATTTTAACCTCTCTGTTATTTTTGTATTTTGTTTGGGTAAAATACAGAGATACTAAAGACAAGTTCTAAACCATCTCACAAGGCGAATGACGGTAAATCAGTGAAAAGTAAGAAGCAGGAGAGCAAGGAGGTTACTGATGACGAGGGTATTTTTCAATTGGATGACTTGGATCCTCTGACCAAACAGATGCACTCTCTGGATGTTTCTAGGAACGACTGTGAAGATGGTGGTTTGTCTCAAAGACAAACTAAAACGAATGGTGCTAGCTTGAAAAGCAAGGATCAAATTGAGACAGAAATTGAAGTTGAAGTAAGTTTGAGTGGATCTGAAGAGGAAGAACACAGAGACTCCAAAACTGACTCAAAGGAGCAAGCGTGTAGGTCTTCAGGAAAAACCAGCGACGTGGGTGTTACTCAGCTGAAGGTTGTTTATAGATTTGATGCTAAAGTTTTCCAAGGAAACAGTAAACCAGTTAAAACCTGTTGCTTTTGCAAAGAGGATGGTCACGTGAAGGATCAGTGCCCAGATTTGCGGAAGCCGCCTCTGATAGTACTGCCGCCAATGACGCCAACGTTTGCTCAAGTGCTAGATTTTGTCTGCCTGACTTGTAGACGTGAGTACTTCCAACAAAGCTCTTTGTTAATCCTTCGTCATGTACCTTTGTTACCATGCCCGTAAGCGCAGTTGTATAAAACATCAGGGAAGATACAAAACTGATCAGTTTTTGGTTTCCAGGCACTCGGCAATTCTTTATTCGAGTTTTGCCTTTGTTAGTTAGTGTGACACTACGCTTTCTCAAACATTTTAAACTTTCTTGAAGTGACCTGTAAATCATTCGGAAGTCTATCTAAAGGACAAGAACAGAAACTAAACCTGTTTATGTACATGTTATGACTGTTCAAACCATATCTTCTAAATGTTCCCGTTCATATCATTTTTCCGACAAGTGTGTTTGCATTTACAGTGTACTTTGGTAAATTTTGTTTCACAGTCAACTCACTAGTCCAGTAATTGCAGACTTCTATATTTACAGGCGATTTTGAATTTGAAAAATCAGAAGTTTCATACCGAGAGAAGGTGTTGAGGAATCTGGAACAGTACATCCGTGAGCAGTATCCAGGTAAGCCATCTATCTATTTATATAATTTATTTATTAGCGAACTTTAAACAGGGTAGCTCAATTCAGCTTTAAAGCTGTCTTCAATGGGGGCCGGTATAAGTATAGGTAATAACATGATCACGAACGCAATTTAGTTTTATTAAGAACGAGTGAATTTTTTAAAGACAACAAAACTGCACGAGCCTTTAGGGCGAGTGTAATTTCTTGTCTTTGGAAATTTTTACAAGTGCTTGTTTACATCAAGTTGCACGAGAAATCGTGTTGTTACTTGTTCATAATTTACCTGAAAAACGCGTCCCAGAAAGTCAAAACGGACGATATTTTTTCAGCGTGCCCTATTTGTATTTTGCTCTTGTGCTACAACTTTGCACTCGTGTTACATAAATATTGCACTTGTTACAATTTAATTAACAATTTAACAAGGCTCGATCACAACGTCGGAGCTACTCTCCCAGCTCTTGGCAAAGAGTGCGTAGATTCTTTAACATCCCTTGCTAACTTGTACAAAGATGCAGGATGCGGGACTTACGGTTTGTCGTCCTTATTCGAGAAGACTAGAATCTCTAACCATTTGTGGATGTCATAGCAAAGGCAGCGCGATCTCCTCGATAGCTTAAGACTCCGAATGTTGGTCCGGTTTGGGGTTTGAATCCTTGACCTCCCGCACGGCAGACCGGTTGTTTTGTTTGAATTACTGCGATATTGTTTATGTTAAGCTGCTGTTGTCTTTTTCCGCAGGCGCACGACTGTTTCTCTTTGGTTCCTCCAAAAATGGCTTTGGGTTTCGTAATAGTGACATTGATATTTGCATGACGCTGGAAAACCGTGTCAAAGAAGAATTGGATTGTGTGGAGATCATCACTAACCTTGCAAGGCTTCTCAAGAAACACAAAGACTGTAACAATGTACTGCCTATCACCACAGCAAAGGTTCCCATTGTGAAGTTCTTCCTTCGCAGTTGTAAGCGTGAGGCTGATATAAGCTTATATAACACACTTGCATTGGAGAACACAAAGATGCTTGCTACCTACGCTAAGCTGGATGATCGTGTTGCTACTCTTGGCTATGCTGTAAAGGTATTTGCCAAGGTATGTGAGTTTATGTAAGTTTGTACAAGACGACTAACCATCAGTTCGTGATCTAATTTCTCCCCTCAATATCACTCCCGAATCAAACATGAGGTAACGAGAATAAAGGAAATGATCACTAACTAAAGATGTGAACCTGTTACCTTAACCCTTTGATCTTCAAGAGTGACCAGCATCTAATTTCTCCTTACAATAAAAGTAAGCTTTCTAGTAACTGAATTTGGTTTCTTTGAGTGCTTTGGTTTGGTTTTGATTTTGGTTTCATGTAGTCAAGTTAAGGGGTTAATTGGGAAGGATCAATCTCTTTAACTCCAAATTCGTTCACTATATTCGCCCATTGGGTTTAAATGCCTCATAAACATGCCTTGTCCCTAGTCATTTGCTGCTAAATCTTAGGTTTAGTCCGAAGTTTGTAAAATTAATAATGTTTAAGTGTACCTGTGCTTTCTGTCTCATTCCCCGTCAGGTGTGTGACATCGGAGACGCTTCAAAGGGCAGCCTGTCATCCTACGCCTATATACTCATGCTTCTTCATTATCTGCAACAGTGCAATCCTCCAGTCATTCCAGTGCTACAGGCCTTGCACAAGGGTGACAAACCGCCCGAGAAGTTCATTGATGGCTGGAATTGCTGGTTTCTGAGTGACGAGAAGAAAATTGTATGTGGTAGTACTTCTTCTCTGTACAGCAAGGGGGGAGGGGAATAGTGGCACCCGGTGGCACCCATTCAGCTTTGAAAATTCCTCGCAATGCAACCTTGTTTAAGTAATAATTAATGATAGGAATAAACTGCCTGTCATCACCTGTGTGTGCTTTCGTAGACATCGTTAAAAATAAGTGCATGGTGTTGTATAAAGATCTACTTGAATCTATTGTTCGTGTTTTTTCTTACTCTCAGGGAAGTGCCTGGAATCCAAAGGAGAGGAACAATTTCAGTGTGGGTGTCCTGTGGTATGGCTTTCTAAGATATTATACTGAAGAATTTGACTTCGAACACGACGTGGTTTGTTGCAGAAGAACAAAAAAGCTGACCAAATTTGAAAAAATGTGGACCAAACACGTGTTCGCAATTGAGGGTAAGGTGTTACTATTCTTTATTGCCTTACTTGAAAACACGTTCGAAGACACAGCACGTTCGATTGTATGACCAACAAATTTTGCAGCTTCTTCATAAGATTAAATTAAATTTAAAAGTACCCGTACCAACACAAGCAAACTTCCCGCATTTTGTAGTAGTGTAGTTTGATCGTCCGGGCGAGTGTAGTCCTGAGGAGGACTATTGTCGGTATTGGTGACTGACGTTTCGACAACCTGAGCGGAAGTCATCATCAGAGTCAAGTGAAAGGTTGTTGTCAGTCGAATGTACTTAGTCCGGTTTGTATAAACCTTCTTGGTCAGTTTTTCCGTGATGTTATCGCCTGTAAGACTCAAGTGGCGTAGGTCAGTCGTGATTGGTCGGTTTCGATCCGTTAGTGAAGTTAGGTCGTTCTGTTCGGTTCTTTTGTAATTTTAATGTCGTGAATGAGTCTATTGTAAAATATATTCTAAATGTATTCTAAAACTTTTCCCCTGCGCTAAAAGAACTCTAATTTACAATTTATGCCAGAACTCTGAAGGAGCTAAGTAATTGAATATGAAAAAATCCCGCAACTGTCAGTTATGGAATTAGCTTGCATTGGGCGCTCCATTGAGCTTTGTTATTGGTGACTTCTGTTATTGGCAATTTTTTTTTGTACTTTACTAGTTATTTCTGTCCGATTCGACGAGAGCTTTACTTCACACCCTACTTAATTTGCAGACCCTTTCAATCTGGACCACAACTTGGGTGCGGGCGTGACAAAGAAGATGGCCAACTATATCCTGACCACCTTTATCAGAGGACGTGAACGCTTTGGAATTCCACGATATGATATACCCAGAGATTTTATTCAGCGGTACTTCTTTGATGTTTACTTTCTTACAGATGGCTTTGAAGCTCCAAGTGACAGGAATTGCCGCGTTTGTAATAAAATAGGCCATATTGCAAGAGATTGCCCTCTTTCTAAGGTCAATCGACGTGCAGAGCAAAGGAAGGAAGAGGAAGAAAGGAAATTGGGTAAAGAAGCTGGCGAAAAAATAGGCGTGAAACAGAAGCCTTTTAGCGCAGGACCTTCACGTCCAAGATCTACTTCTGCGCCAAGCAAACAGGGACAAAACAAGAATGTTGACGATAGTATTCGTCTGTCAACAGCACTGTCTCAACAAGGTGCTAATGCTTCGGATGTAACATCTCTCTCAAAATCTCAACCAAATTCACAAGATCTTTCGTCTCCTCCAGAGGGGAGAGGGGAGGGGAGAGAGGTCGCAGATAAGCAATCCGAGATTCCAAATATGAAAGCACGTGACCAGACCTCTCTGCAGGGCTCGCCCAGTGCGCATTCAGCCTGTGGTACTCAAGAGACTTTGGTGGAGTCAAAAGAAAACATATCTCAACCCATACCGGCAGGCTACGTCTCTGATGTTAAGAATGAGAAAGGTAACGAAGGTAGAAATGTAAATGACTCGGAGGGCATCATCCCAGCTGCGGTTTTACCAGGTTCAAAGGAAGAGGATTTTACTAAGGCATCTGCAACGCCACGAGTGCAGACTTCTTCATCAGTGCAATCCAGTCACTCTGGAGAAATGGAACCTCCTCCCGGCTTCCACGGCACCGGCAGGATGTCTCAGGTGTCCGATGAAGGATCTCCACAATTGTTACCTGATGGTCTCCCACAGTCCCCTCCTGTAAATGCTCCATCACCTAATATCTTACAAGGTCAGCCTATCGTTATGGGTACTCCACCACGGCATCCAATAGGCATGCTCCACCCCCAAATTGCTCCGTTTGTATTTTCTCCCAGTCAACATGACATGTGGCTGAGGCAACATGGTGGAATCATGCAAATTCCCCATAGTCCACCTGTGAGGCCACTTGTTCCTTATCCTTTGTCACCCGAAGTTCAAGGTGTTCAACAACCAACGCAGCAGTGGAGTGGTCCTGTAGAAAACTTTCCAATGGATCATCCCGGCTCCCCTTTTCGGGGATTCCATCGTCTTTGTGAGCACAACCAACGATTACTTGCACAGAGCCCTCCAATTATTTCAAGAACTGTTAATAGGCCATTGGGACCAAACAGCCCTCCCCTTAATGCGACCAGTTATGAAGATCCAGCTATGGTAGAAGGGCAGCAGTTCGCCTCGCCTCCAGTAAGACATCCTGCTTTCCCAGAAGGCATTTCTCCCAGTATCACTCCACAGCAGGCCCAGTTTCCTCCTGGTATCCCTCTACAACACGCCCAATTTCTGCCCAGCACTCATCCACAGCAAACCCATTTTCCTGTTGGTTCTCCTACACAGCAGACTCAATTTATTCCTGGTAATCATCCACAGCGACCCCCCTTCCCCGTGGGTTCTCCTCCACAACAGACTCGATTGCTTCCCAGCACTCCTCCTCAGCAAACTCCCTTTCCGGTTGGTTCTAATCCACAGCACACCCAATTTCATCATGGTGTTTCTCCACGGCCCCCTTTTACTCCACCACAGAGTATACCACAGCCGCAAGGAAACAGTTTACAGCATGCCATCGGAACACACATGGTCAGTGCACCATATTGGCCATACCGGTTCTATTACCACTAGTTGTAAGATTACTGTATTTTTCAACACATAGATAAAATAACCGTTGTTTAGTCAGCTTTTTTGATCATGGTGGAGAGATTCTCCATCAAAGTTCAGTTGCTTTTTGTAGGCTACATGATTTTATGTCCACATATCATAGACAACCAGTATAGATGCTTGCAGGGACTTCTTCTTGGAACCAAAACCCAAGCTGTTGGAATTAATGCCCATAGTTGCCATCATGTCTTGGTAACTTGAGGACGAGTTCAAGTTTTCATGCAGTTCTTTTCTGTCTCTGTTGGTGATGGTTGTTGTTCACTACTCTATTTGTCTTTAATTGTCGAGAACTGTATGGTTAATGTGGTGTACTGGATGTTTAGACAGGAGAACAGTTCATCGGCCTCTTCCGGGCCGCTGAAGTAGAGGAAAAGAAGGAAGACATTCTCCCCACGAATCCCCCTGCAAATGATGAGTTTCAGGTATGTACTTAGTGATCTTACTTGTTGCCTCGAGATTCTTTGTTCTGACTTCAAATGATTTGTAGACTTCTCTGAAAATATATTACATTCCATTGTGATTCGCATCGAGTAATGCCTATATAACTGCAAAACGATTGCAAATTGCTTTTTTGGATCTTTTCCATGTTCATATAGGGTTAAATCGGATTTTGGTTGTGATTTACACTTTTGCGTTCGATAGTTTGCGAAAAAATTCTGAGAAACGTCTTGATTGGACGTTCTAGTGGCAAATAAGTAGCTTTAGGCTTCACAAGTCTCAGTTCACAACGTATTTAAAGGTGGCGGCAGTGCGGGTTGAAGATCCTTATTGATCTCTACTTCCGTAGCTTATTATATTCGTGCAATTATCACCTCCCCTTCTCTTATATTTCTAACACATATTTCCCATTTTATGTCAGTCTAAGGAACTACATATTGCTCCAAAGAATTTGAAAGCCGCCAATACCCCAGAAGAACATAAGTTGCTATCCGATCTGAACAAAGTGAAGAGCCTATGGGAAGGCAATGCTGCAGCTGAATTGCAAAGCAGTAGCCCTGGTCCAGAAATAGTCAAGGAATTGAATCCCAATGGGCATACTGAAGTTCAAGATTCAAATGATGCGGTTCCTCCTCTCCAAGACACCGAGGCAATGATAAAAGACGAAATATGTTCAACTGTTAACGAGAACTCGATTAAAAAAGAGGATGAAGGAATGACAGTGGATGTAGTCAAAACTAAGGAAAGCGTTTTGGAAAAGCGATTTGTACCGGCTCCCTCGACTCAAGGACATGATGTAGTGGTTTCGAGAAAGGTGAACATGGAGGAACAAGATTCATCTACCTGTGAGGTGACTTTGAAAGATAAATCGGAGGCAAATACGCCTGTAGTAGACAATGGAGAGCGAAAGAGAGCTGAGGAACAAGAACAGAACATTGCAGCTTCGGCTGCGCTAGAAGAAGCTCCCAGAAAAAAGAACAAAAAGCGGGGCGGTCGTGGAAGGAAGGCTAAGACACCAAGACAAAACGAAGCTACAGAGAGTTCTCCAAACAAGCAAGAGAAAACCGTAGATGATGGCACAAAAGAAACAAAGAATACTCAAGGGCAAAATCAACGCCAGAAAAATCGCGTCGAATCCAAAGTTGACGCTTCAAAGGCTCCTCCTTCATCTTCACCCAAAAGGCCTGGACCTGAACGCTCCGAAGAAAAACCGAATGAATGCTCTAGAGAAAGTCCTGGCCATGGTGCCGAGTCAAATAAAAGTTCTACCCCCAAAAGGCCAGGATCTGAACGCTCCAAAGTAAAACCGACTGACTCTTCAAGAGACACTTCACGCCGAGGTGCCGATTCAAATCAAATTTCGACGCCTAAAAAGCCTAGATCTGAACGCTCCGAAGAAAAACCGACTCAATCTTCAAAAGACCCTTCTCCCCGTGGTGCTGAGTCAAATCAAATTTCGACGCCTAAAAAGCCCAGATCTGAACGCTCTGAAGAAAATCCGACTCAATCTTCAAAGGACCCTTCTCCCCGTGCTGCTGAGTCAAATAAAAGTTCTACACCCAAAAAGCCTGGATCTGAGCGCTCCGAAGTGAAACCGAGTGAATCTTTAAAGAACAGCCCTCGTCAGGGTGCCGAGTCAAATAAAAGTTCTGCATCCAAGAAGTCTGGACCTGAGTGCTCCGAATCGAAACCTTCTGAATCTTCAAAAGACACTTATCGCCATGGTGCTGAGTCAAATCAAATGTCCACGTCTAAAAAACCTAGATCTGAACGCTCCGAAGAAAAACCGAGTGCATCCTCTAGGGATGGTTCTCGCCGTGGTGCCGAGTCCACACCAGGTAAGAATAAACTCAAAGAGTCACCTACAAGCAAGAAAGACCCTGAAAAGAGAGCACCACAGGAAACCAATCAAGAACGTGGTAAGAGTGCAAGAGCAGAAAAGGCTACTAGTCCCCCCGAGGATTCTAACAAAGTTAAACCTACAAATCAGAGACGGAGAAGACCAAGATCCCAGTCCAAAAGGGGCGGACAGAACGAAGGGAAATAAGAGCAGGATACAAGACACCGAAACAACAGCACGCCCGTGAAACGCCAATCTCTGAAATCGTAAATTATGGACACGTGTAGCGTGTTAAGGGTATAGCACCGAGCCAAGGTGACAAAGATTTTTTAGAGAAAGTGAAGTATTTTCTTAGCGAGATGCAGGTGGTAGAAAATGGGTACTTGATTTTATAGAGCAGCAAACCTGTGTGTGACCTATTCTTGAGCTTCTTGTGCTCCTTTATCCCTTAAAACCACAATATTATTCTGTTCTCTTTACAATTCTTTTGATACTGACGTGGAGAATATGTTTAACAGTCGGGATAGCTTCTTACATTGGTGATCATTTCCTTTATTCTCACGTTCTTTACATTTGATTCAAGGGTGATATTGTAAGGAGAAATTAGAAACCAGTCACTCTGAGGAGTTATAGGGTTAAGTGCATGCTATCGCGTTTTCTTTGTACTCCTTTCGTAGCAGACATACAATAACTCATTGTTGATCACTCAACAATGTTCTAGTAATAGAACGCTGATGATAGTTCATGACTTTTAAAAATTTTGTCTTACAGAAGCGATGGTAGAACTGATTTCTTTTTTTGTTGTTAACTAAAGCACTCGACTTTTTTCCTAGTTTGATTCAACAAAGTAATGGCACTCACGAATTTGCAGATTCTAGTTTTGTTCTTAGTTATTGAAAAGTTCCTTGTGTTAACTCGTGAAAAGCTTAGCTCTGGTGACAAATAACTGAACATTTTCACACGTTATGTTTTATCTTGCAAGAAGTAGGGTTTTATTAAACGACGATTACAGCGGTCTGCCGCCGGCCTATAAGAACTCTTATTGTCGTCTGTTGAGCCTGCGAGCAGGCTTTCTTGTTCGGGTCTCGCCGTATAACCCTTAACACCCTGACACCAGTATGCATATTTTCCACACTATTCTTTACACATTACCTAAGGTGCTGATAAAGATAATTTGTTTGGTAATGAAAAGATTCCTTCCCTGGTGACCATTTCCTCTACTCTCTTGGCTTTAATGTGTGATTCAGGAGTAATATTGTAGGGAAAAATTAGATGCTAGTCACTCTTAGGTTTTAAAGGGTTAATACTGCCTTTTTAGTGAGCACAGCCGCCTATTACACCATCGGCAGCCGCTTAGGAAGAAAGTTATTGAAACCCTTGCAAAAGCTATTCCAAAGAAACAATTCCAAATTCCCCCCCAAAAGAAAAAACAAAGAAAACAAATCGACTATCTTACACAGCCCAACTAATTTGAAAGTGAACACCGACTGACTCCATTAGTACAATCGCTGACTACCGCTCAAGGGAATTTAAATGTAATGCGTCGATCAATTCGAAGCTTCAATAACTCTAGCCCCACACCGCGGGTAACTCCTGGGCATACTGGTTTGTTTAAATGCCCGCCTCCGGGCAACAATTTTGTTCAAATGCCCCACTCGATTTTTTATGTGAAACGCAAGAAAAAGCGACCGTGACTTTCCACATACTGACAAGCTTTAAAAGATACGCCATGCTATTCGCTCGCGAAACTGAACTTTTTATTATAACCTTAGACACCTCCATATTTAAATATACAACAATCGCATTCCGTAGGATAGACTTGCCACATTCAAATTCCCCACTCCTCGGGCAGGGGACAACGGTCAAATACCCGGCAGGATGTTGGAGCTTTGAATTAATCGGTCCATAACCTCTTACATTTTAACTCAGTCTGAGGGTGCATCTTTTCACTGTTTTGTATACTTTTCCGATGATACTTGAGTTGATGACCAAATCCTTTATTCTCGTGACCTCAATATTTGACTCGGTCGTGATACTGAATGATTGATTTATCCGAAAAAAAAAAAAAAAGGAAACTCGACGCTTGCTCAGCTCCTTTTCTTTTTATTTGAACTATGTATTGTGCCTCAAGAGGAAGGTGTCAGTGAAGACCTTTTTTGTTCACGATTTGACGATGAGTCCGCTATGAGGTGATCGTTAACGAACCGACGGTGATTTAAACACATCGTTAATCTCCGGATGTTGTCGACTTAACCTTAAGGTTGACGAACCGACGGTTACTTAAGCACATTGTCTTTCTTCGGATTTAATCTACCGACGGTGAATTCACCACATCGTCCTTCTCCGGACGGTATCGACTTGTCTCGTAGTTGACGAACCGACTGTGATTTCAATACGTTAGTCTGCGGATGCAATCGACTTGGACTCGTGCTAGCATGACGGCGCTTACGTCCTCAGAAACCGCAAAATGTCAACTATATTTTTTTGTTTGTGCAAAAATGAGTGACGACATTCTGACATTGTGTAATGCTACTAAAATATCCGTGGTTCGACAACTAGAGTCTAAGTCGATTACATCCAGAGTTTGATGATGTGTCAAACCGGAACGGATCAATTTTTATCTACCGAGTTGATAATGTAAATTGGCCACCGTAACCAAATTCTATAGCTGACATTTCGAGCGTTACCCGTTCGTCCTTCGCTTTGAGAAGACAAACACTTAGAGTTTGAGCTTTAGAAACTCTTTACAGTGGCCAATTTGCATTTCGTTAACGTAGTTGATAAAACCAACTCGTCTTTTTATACCCCCTACGACGCAGACCACAGTTTCTTTAGAAACTTATCCCCTTTAATCTTATCCAGTGACTTCTCACTTCCTTAACGATCGCGTGTACGTCAAGTGCTAAGTCTTAATAAAACCAGACACTGATCCCTCTAATCTGCGATTTTCCCTTGTCAAACAAACTTCATAAAAAGATTTAATTATCCTCTGTTTACTTAATGAAATCGTTCCAGGCTTCAATCACTAATTTACACAATTCTTTCGTTGCTACAGTAAACTATGTTACAGTGGGTACATTAATATTTGGAAGATGTTATGATGGCGACAAGTTCTTCCCGGGAACAGAAGTCAAAAAATAACGTACGAAAATGTTACGTGAAAAATGAGTGTCCCTTTGGAGTAAGTCGGGGCCCTGTGACAACGCATAAACGTGATTTTGCGGAGGTCGACAATCACAGACAGCGAGCGCTGGTGGGAAAAGTGAAAGATGCCTTTCGGACAATTTCCTTTCGTTCAGAGCCAACAATTGGCGAGGACGATTTGGTTACCAGACGCAATTCACTAACACCCATCAGTTTTCGAGTTAACAGCAGAAATAGTTACGCTTTGGATGCCAAGAAACGCCATGAACTTGTTCAGAGTCTCGTACCCAAATGTTATGAGCATCTTCAGAATTTTCATCACTATCGAAACGATATGGAAAGATTGAACTCGGGGTGTAAAGTTTTGTACCTCTCTGCGAAAAACGGAGATAAAGTTGGGGAGGAGAAAGAAGCTCAAGGAGTTGATGGTCAAGCTTCGGTGAAAACCGAATGTTGGCCTCTAAGGCGACGGAACGGCCATAGTCCAAATGCAAGAAATTTAAAAATGCCTCGTAAACTTACATCAACGGCGGTAGCTAAGGAGTCCAAAAAGGATTCTGCACTCTCACCAAGATGCGATGTTAACGTCTCTAAAACTAAGCAGTCTAACTTGAGTAGCGTGTTGAACTGTTCCGAAGCAAAATTAAAAGCGAACGATTCCAAAGGAGGTTCAGGAGATTATTCCAAACTGGCTTTTGGCAATGGAGTAGAGAGATTGGCGCCTCGTGAATGTGAGAGCCGTAGAGGGAGCGGTGAAGTGCCTTCTGTTAAGCTTGAGGAAGATATCAGCATTGTTGAATCGCCAGGTGTTCACCTCATGCACAGCTCTGACAGTGCAGTTAGCGATATTTCACCACATCCCCCCATGACAACGCCGGAGCTTGACATTTCTAGAAGATCTTCCGTTCGTACTCTGGTTTTCGAAAGTCAAGAGGAACTTGATACAAATAGTGGAAAAAATCCATCGTCTGTGCAAAGAACTGCTTACAAAGATTCGAAGCACAGCCCTCACCTTCTTGCCCCGTTTCAATCCAGATTTCCGCATCTGAAATGTTCCGAGTTGGCGAGTTCTCAAAACCGACAAAAGAGAAATGTAACCGCTGTGATTCCACCATGGCAACAATATCGTATTTTGTGTGACGCATTTCGGCCTAATCAACAGCAGAACTCGCGTTCGAACGGGTACAAAAAGCCCAAGTTTGCCACAACCACAGAGCTGGAATATTACATCGAGATTGTGTCTGAAACGAACGATAATTGCGGATTGAATTTCTAGAGGGTTTTGGGGAAGTTTTCAATAATTGTTCACAGGAACCTGTATAGTTTATAGTGTATGTGAGGACAAATAGACTTGTGTAAAAAGCGGAGCGAACGATATCAACGTAAATTATGATGAGAGGTTTGTTATCCACATTCAGTGTCTCTGTTATTTTTTATTTTTTTTTTTTTCATTCCGTTTCTCTTTCTCACTCTTTTTTCACTATGCCCTGTAATTGGCTTAGAAATCTCGCGCCATTCTTTCAACCAGTCGAACGCAAAACTTAAGCAATTGCGCCAAACGTCATTCCTTTTTTTTCCTTGGCGCTTCACGCAATAGAAAATTATTTTTCTTTACTGTGAGATCTCATTGGCTCTTTATGACACTTACTTTTTTCTGACTGTACGTTTTACAACACAATCTAACTTTGCTCAACCAGCGCAAAGTGATAGTTTCAGGAAACATTGTATTTACACCCAATTGCGAGGACGCCGTAGGAAAACCCAAATATCGAAAAAGAGGAAAAACCCAAACAAGATATCGAGTAGCATTTAAAACTATCCTCTGGCTATATGCCCGACAGTCGAACAGAATTTCCACAGAAAAATTATTTTAAACCTCTTGGAGTCTCAGATGTTGTTTAGAAATTTCGATTGATTACAAAGATTAAAAAACGAAATATATATTCTAATGCCTTATTCTTGTCCCACTTGCCAATTAATTCGATTTATGCGACTTTATAGTACTTTTATAACACTATTTGCCAATACTAGGGGTGTATAGTGTAATTTTTTTTAAGTATTCATCGATAATAAGCCATATCGTTTTATGCTACATTTTTCAATTTTTGTTCCGCTAAATATAAAAAAAAAAGATCGTTCCTGATCATTTTTATGATTTTGTCAATCCTTCCACTCGCAAACTACCACAGAAAGAAATTTCTCCTACTGAAATCTAAACATTTTAACTCTTTACACCCTAATATCAATATGCATATTCTCCATACTGTTCTCTATACATTTCTTAAGGCGCTGACAAGGAGAATTTGCTTGACAGTCGCGGGCTTCTGTAATTGTGGATCATTCTCACAATTCTCATGACCTTAACTTTTGATTCAGGTGTGATACTGTAAGGAGATTTTAGTTGCTGGTCACTCTTAGGGGAGAAAGGATTAAAGCAGAAAAGTAATGCGAGGAAATAATATTCTGAAAGACGTTAGGGATTTAATGTTACATGTATTTTATTAAAGATTAGTTGCAAACTCTTACAGCTAAAATTGCAAGAAATTTATGACAGTCAAGGATAAAGATTTCTCTTTAGATCTTGACTGTAACACAGTTTAACTCGGGATGTGTTTGTTGCACGTGTCGCGGATCAAACTATTGCGTAACATGAGAAATATCAGCGAGGAGAATGAGGCATGAACTGTGTGTATTATTCCAAAAAGAGCCATACGCTCTTTTGTCATTATCATTTTTTGTATACGATCACACACGTAAGGATATATGTTTGTATATATTTTTCAATTAGTGTTTTTCACGAACGTTTTTTTTTTCTTGCTCGTGGATAAGACCATATCAAGTGGTATGGTTAGGGTTAGGGTATATTTTCCAAGTTAAAAGTGTTTCGAAGCTTTCCCCGACCGAAATAGGCGTGGGAACATACCTTATGTCTGTGGCGTGCTTCCCATTACGTGTTTGTCAAAAACGTTTTTACCTATAGACCTCAACCGAACAAAGAAATCAAAGAAATCTTTGTAGCTATTCTGATTCAGCTCGTAAACATGAAAAATAATACAACAAATGTGTTAATTAGAGTAGAGAGAAGTCAGACATATTGATATATTTTTCATTAGTGTAGGAACAACATCCATTTAAAGGTCAAAATGTGGTGTTGGCCAGTTGTCATTTACAACTGTATCGAGGGAAAACGTTAAATGTAAGGCGAAAACCATCATGAATTTAAGTATTCCTTCATCTACCGAGTCTGCACTCATGGGAACTGAATGTGGTTTGTCGAATATTCTGCAAGGAAATATTGACCACACAAACACAATAACATACGTAACTGTCTCTTTCCTGATCGTGTTAGCCATAGCTACGTGTCCTTTCACAATTTTGTTGAATATTCTGGTGATCGTTGTCGTGAAAACTAAGTCGCATTTGAAGACAAACTCCAACATCGTACTCGCCTGTTTAGCGGTTACTGATGCCTCTGTAGGAGTGGTCGCTCAGCCTCTGTACATCGCCATCAGAATATTGGGTCTTCTTGGTGACACGTCAGACGAATACTGTAGACTGCTTCACTCATCAAGAAACGTCTTCAGACTCCTGGCTGGTTCGTCTGTATTACATTTGTTCCTGATGAGCTTCGAACGCTACCTCGCCATAAATCATCCATTTAAGTACCCGCGCATGCTTAATAAAGCTCGTATACTTAAAGCGTCCGTTCTAGCCTGGCTTATAGCAGTGATGGCGACAATTCCATTTACGATCACTAGTGTGAGATTCTACTTGACTATCAATAATGCTTTATTGGGCGTGTTTGCGGCACTAATCATTTTCTGCCAGGTTGTGGTTTACAAAGAGACCCGTCGGCATGAGAGGCATATTGCCACTAATCAAATCTCAGCGGAGGCCAGAGAGAAATTTAGGAAAGAAAAGAAAGCCTTGAAGCTCACAACTTGCGTCATTTTTTTTCTCGTTTTGAGTTATTTGCCAATTTTTATTGTTCGTTTACTTTTGTTGACCTCTACCATAACCAGTGTAAATTTAGCTAATATCAGCTTAAACTTTGTAACCTGCATTGCAATTCTCAATTCGCTCATCAACCCTATCATTTACTGTGTAAGACTGAGACAGTTTCGCGTTGCGTTTATTCAAATGTTACTACGGAAAAACAATTTACAAGCTGAACAGTTTGAAAGGTAAATATTTAAATCCTCTAATAAGTAAGAACCTGGACATAAATTTGAAAATGAAGGAAAGCATCATGAAGTTCGTCATACACAGAGTCGTTAGTCATCAGCCATTATTTGTCCGTATCACTGTTTGTAATTTTCCTTCCATTTCTTTGGCAATGGATGCATTCCCTGGACTACCAACGGCTACTTACCAATATTGGCTTTGCCTATGCGTAATACTTCCTGACTTTGTTCTCATGCAAATAACTTTCCGCTAGTGCCCAGTTGTTCTTGCGCATGTTAGTGAATAAAAGCACATCGCTTTCCTAAGCTATCGATCGAGAATGACGCGAAAAATCAATAAAACATAAACTTTGGTTAATTAACTATTTGACCTCTAAGAGTGACTAGCATCTACCTTCTCCCTACAATATCATCCCTAAATAATACACTAAGGTCATGAGAATAAAGGAAATGATCACCAACTAAATAAGCTCTGGATTGTTAAATAAATTCTTCTCGTTAACACCTTAGTAAATGTATAGAAACTGGTATGGAGAATATGCATACTGATGTTAGTGTGTAAAAGGGTTAACTAGAAGTTAGGCCATCAACTGTGTCCTTTCTCATATTCGTATGAAAAGCGTTTGAAAGAATTCCTCTAACACAAATTACATAAGAAGACGATTATGTGTGCGGTTTTTTCGTTTTTCGACGGGACATCATCAAACGAAATGCACATCCGCGGATCAAAGTTTTCAATAGACTTTTTCGGAACAATTTAACCACGAAAATGCCGGATGTCTGTTTGTTCAACTCCATTTGCTGCCCAATCTAGCTTCCATTGAGCTTAGGAAACAAAGAGATAAAAGATTTCTCCAAGGCTATTCGATTTCTGCACGAAAACTGTCTGTTAAGAAAACTGATCGACATAAGGTTTGTAACTGGTAAAAGCTGAGAAAATAGGCGTTTGTTGAGGAACTTGAAGAAAAAAACAAGGCAGCTGGAGAATGATATTGCATAACAGCGAGATGTCTTTTTAATGAGCAGGTTTCGTAAAGCCCTTGTCAGTTATCCAACTCAGTTACAGAGCCTTTCGTTTCGAACGGTCAGTGCAATATAATCTCCTCCTACATGACAGAATAAGAAAAATATTTTATTGTGCATGCGTTTCTCAAAACACCCGTAGATTTAACGGGTTCAGAAACCGTCACGAAGAGCGCCCGAAAAAAGGTCCGGTTGTTCCTTAGAAAATTTCGGCCCGAGTAACTGCGCAAATTGTTTCGAAAACTCGAGCGACTGGGGCGATCGATAATATGGAAACAAGGCTTAAAATTAACGATCTCCATTAAGGCTTAAGTTCATCCTGAACGACCCTCCCCCGTATTTGCCTTCATAATGTTATATAACGTTGAATAATGCGTGTGCAATTGGAAAAGGTGATGGAGGCAGGAGGGATTGGGCCTGAGAAATCGCATAGGTTCACTCTTTTTTTTTTTTATCTACCTGACAGAGGGAGATCTGAGTACGACGTAACATGGGATTCGTGATCGTGCTTAGAAGTGACTTATAGTCGATAAAAAGAGAATGTCTCGTTATGATATATATATGCCTTATTGACCGAGCGTGAGGTCAAGATGGCTGGATAGTGGCCGAATTCTTTTTTTCCCGTTGCAATGGATCGAGACGAAGTCGAGGTCCATAAAAACGGGAAAAAGAACAAGGCCATTATCCAGCCGTCTTGACCGACCAAGTTTGGTCAATAAAGTATTTACTATTAAGAAAAACAATTTCGGTTTATTAAGAATCAAAAATGACTTGTTTATTTCGAGAGCCTGGAAAGAAAGCCATTGTGTTTGTAACACAAGAAACCCACAAGAGTCGTTTATATTTCTCTGATTTAACTGCACTGTCTTCTGCCGACTTTTGCGACTCCATCGCCGTCATTTTCCAAAAATTAGGAACCTTATTAGTCTGCCCCGAGCAACTTTATTTCTTGCGCGGGATCAAAGTGGGCAATCCCGAACGGGCAAATAGGCCCACCTTTCCCGCTTGGGTAGTCAATCAGAACAAGGGATTCGCTTCCAAGTGCATGCTCAAGGGCGCTGCCCGTGATATGATAAAATGGCTTAACAAAGAAACTAGCATCAGGAGGCTTTGGATCTCTTAAAATTTATTGTAGCATTCAAATTACTTCTAGCTCTTGTCTCGAGACTTTTTTTTACAACGCCTTGAAGCAAGGTTTAAGTAATACCGTCATTACGAACACTTTAAGTCCAAAGGTCAGCGCAATAATTTTGTGTTTTTGCTGGTAAAAACTTAGAGCAATGCAGAGCTAAATCAATATACTAGCGTTTTGCTTCATTCCCTGTCCCCTAGGCATTGTATCAATAATTGTAATAGGACTGAGTATAGTAAATTCAAGGAGTAATCAGGTAACTGATTTCAAACTAGCCGAGCGCATGGCACGAGGCTGAATATAAATTACTAGCACGATTCCCCTTGAGTTATACCAAACGAAGTCTTATTACCAATGCAGTTAATTTTGTCAATAACAAAATGCGAGAAACTCAGGAATAAAAAAATTGATGTAAGAACACATACGCCCCTCAATGAAACACGTTCCTTTTCCGTGGGGACCTCGCGACTTCCTCACTTAAGAAGTTTTCTTTATTTTGATCAGCTAACATTGTCTAGGTAATTGATGGACTGGCTGCTGAATTGCTTAACTTTCATCGGCTGCTTGTCATCGGATAGGTGAAAGGGAAATCGGACAATTTGGACTGAAAACAGCCATTTAAGTCACAAATAGGGGCTGTTGATAGCCATTCATGTTCAAGAATCTTGTTATGGACGAAATTAACCCTTTCAACCCCTAAGGAGGGTATCATCTTATTTCTCCTCACGTATCACTGCTGATTCAGACATGAAGGTCACGATAATAAAGGAATTTATAGGCTGCTGAATAACCAGTTCTCCTAACATTTAAATCAGATCTGTAGAGAGCGTAGCAGGGAGAATATGCATGCTGATGTCAGGATGTAAAGGGTGATATCACGGAAAGAAGAACTGATTCATAACGAGTATTATGTGCCATTTTAACCGAGCAATCGTCAAAATTTAAGAGACATAAAATAAGTTTTAATTAAATATTTAATTCAAATAAATAAATTTATAAATATTTCAAAGGCACAATTCAGTGCATAACTACCCAATGCATTTTTTTTAAGTCAGTAGAACCAGTATGCGGACGTATGCAGCTAGAGAGGGTAGACACAAAATCATAATTGACACTTTTGCCAATAACTTGAGGAAAGCAACTGATCAAACAGTCTACCCCAACTAACTCGAAAATACTAAAACAACTAGCACACAATGAATACTCAATATCATATTTTGCGCTCTGAAATATTTACAACTTGCAATTCGCTATTTGATTGCTAGAGAACAGTAGAGTTGGATGACGTCGAATATGACCCACTCATTAATTTTCGAGCGATTTTATAGGCTTCTCTGGTGCAAAATCACAAGACGGTTAACACGCTATAACTCCATCTTCGACTATGTTTATCTGACGATTATTTCCGAAAAGAAGAGAAAGAAAGCCAAAAGGAAAAAGGGCCAGCTCGAGAGTTTCAAATTATCATCTTTATTACTTTACATGAAAGAATAACAAACTCGTTTTGTAGAGACCAGTGATAATAACCTCAAATTCTGCCCCGGAAAGCAAAAAAAGTTAACAAAATATGCCGTCAACGCGCGGTATAAAAGTTAACGAGAGGGTTATAGATTAAATTAACTCCCCTCTGACTCGGCCCTTGGCCGAGAGATTGTCCTCAAAATTTCACATTTTTCCTCGAAGCTTTACTTCATGGCCAAATATTTATTTTTCGGACAATCTCCCGGCCGCAGACAACATCTATACCTGTCTCCTTCGGGGGTTTATTTACTAAATATTTTGCAAAGCGTAGGTTATGATGTAGAACATTTCTCTCCTCTGTCCTACTTAGAATGTTTCGAGATGAATTTACGTATAAAGGCTATAGACTGTCCTCGCCGTTTCTGTTTCTTTTGCTGACCGTCAGGCCAATGAAGGGCTACATCTAAAATTGATAAAAGAAAATTTAACAGTCAGTTGTACACCCTGGAATGTGCGTAAACAAGAAAGAGTCCTCATAAACAGAAAAAATTTCTGCCGACAACCAAAGGCTACATTGTTTCCACCTTCAAGTGTTTCGTTTGAGGGCGCAAGAAAAAATATTAATTTATGAAAATTATCTATCAGAATCGTTCTTTGCATAGAGTGTTATCTTCTGAGCGTTTTCGTGTGCGGCTTTTACTATCTGTGAGTTTACCTATTCCTCTGCGAAGCTTTGATGTATTTATCATTTTTGATTCAAAACTTGTTTTTAATCATCCCTGACTCAGCTATTTAATTTTCGCTGTTTTCATCCTCACTTGGAAAGCTTGTAAATCACTCGGCTCCGGCTCGGGATTGACGAATTTTTCTCGTGTTCTCCCAACATTCCACGTAAGTTATTACGCCGGCATACTGATGGAAAGTGCGGTCAACTCGCTCTGTGATTGGTAGTTCAAAACGATTGCGTTTCCTCCCGCTTAAGGAAGTGCTCCTTATCTCTTCGTAATATTTCCCTTTGATCCCTTTGGCTTTTGAGATTTACTTTGATTTTGGTAAAGGAATAGTTGATCGAAATGTTGCACTCAAATTGAAAGACGTTGGTTGAACGTTTCGTGATGAAGACGTGAGACAGAGTAAAACTACATACTACAACAGTGATAGAAGTTTTTGTTTTTATCATAGAAAAATTCAATTATTGCGTTTCTTACCTTGTTGTGGACACTGTGGTTTTGCATACTCAAGTGTTTTCTCTTCATTCCTCTCTTCATTCCTCTCTTCCTTCTTGAGACCTTCGGAGTTTAACTTAACCATACTCGGAGACTTTCTGGATCCATTGATTTTCATATAGATCGTTTCCGTCCTTTTTTCCTCTGTCATACAAACTAAAA